AGCTCCATGTGGGATAGTACATTGCAAAAAGCAAGTCCCACATGTTGACTTCTTTTTAATTGGGATACATCACTCCTATATAACTGAAGATTTTGTATGCTGTATAATGATTTTGGACAAGTTCTAATTGGCATTTTACCCAATGAATTCATTGCAGCACATATAGAATTAGGCATTCTGTTTATATGAAACTAGTAATGGGCAGAAATGGTCTGCACTCCGGTGGTTTGAGCCCAGCCACCGCTAGTCCCCTGGCCCCTACCACCCAGCAGTTTGAAAGCATGAAATATTGTGAGCAGATAAATGGATACCACTTTAGTAGGAAAAACCTGTATTTGTGTGTGCAGCGAACGGAAGCTGGCACTGGACCTGACCAGACACTAGGCAAATGCAACACTAGGTAGGCAAGGCAAGACCCTCAGAGGAGCCTGGAAGAGACAGTAACCCGAGCACTGCTAGTCAGCTAGTGTAAGCTAGTTCGTCCCCTACGGTGCACTAAGGACAGACATGCGAATGCCAAACAGAATGAACTAGCAATTTAGGCTATGAGGATTGCATTGTGTGTACCATTTATAGCTTTCCCTGACGTTGTATACCATACATTAAATAAATAAATCTATAATAGGCTTAATGATGGACATTAAGCTGAACATATAACTGATGCTACTGGAAATATAAAACCAGACTCAGAGCATTTGTATAGGTTTACAATCGCCCCCAAAAGATGGTTTGGAATGTTCCTCAAGCATCAGATATTACTGGATTCCTAAGTGAGGGCTGAATTTGCCCAATTAAACCGTGACGCTTATGTCCAGTCACGAGCTACCCACCTTGATCCCATCATTGTAGAATTATCCTTGAAAAGGTGAATAGATGAAGCAATTGTGCAATTTGGCGTGCAGATAATTCAAGATATAGGAAACTAAAAATTTGTGATGTACCAGGCAGAATTGATAGTAGTATTAATTTTTTATGTCCTAAACAGCTTAGGATCTGACTTTCTGATGAATCACTTTTTCCTTACAAACCTTGTGTGGTGCTAAATTGTTGGAAAGACTTTTTTGCTGTCAGGCTCACATGTCACATATGGAAGAGGACTTTTCCTGTTTGTATACAACATTTCCTTCAGAATTCAATTGGTCTCTATTCTCTTCAAACAAAGTTCTTCTGCAAATCTTCATTTTATGCAATTTTAGTACAAATTTAACGGGTTAACTTTCTGTTTTTTTCTCAAAATAATTGTTAGCTGCTTTGTGTTTTCACTAGAGCTGAAGCATTGACAATAAATACATAAATACTATCTGGTTGATTGATTAAAATTTTGAAGTTTATTTTTTATTTTTCCATTTTTGAAAATTATAATTCTGGAATAAAACTGATTTCTGTAAAAAACAGATTTCTAAATTATCTGCCCATTTAAAAATGCTATACTTGTTTTCACATTGATTTTCTTGAAAAACTGGAACATATACTAAAGTTTCAAATCAAACAAAAATAAATATCACAGTTTATATATGTGAAATGAAACATTTTACATATTCATGCAATATATTTTCAAACTCCATTTATACTTGTAAACAATAACTTTAAGCCTAATAGATTGGAATTATATGCATCTATAAAATTTAAAATAATTTTAAATTGTTTTACACATTTACTGTAGGAATGCTAAAATGTGGCTTGTTTCCAGAGATTGTCAGAAATATTTTATTTCAGTAGTTCCTTTCAATAATGCAATATACAATAAATACATTGCAACTTTCAAAGAACTTTTTAAAATCCTGTGTACAAACTCCAGCTAAAACCAGCCTTGGACATTTCCCACTGCACCCCACCCCATGCCTCCATATATATATGCTTATTGGAAATTGTTTTCCCCAAAAACAAGTACAATCCCTGGTCCCGCATGTATTAATTTAGTAACTACTGTTCAAAATGAATTACTTATCAAATAAAGTGCTTCACTTACAGTACTGATCCTTTCTGCATGCACAAGCCACTTTCACGCAGAGAAACATAAATATATATACACATTTTCCTGTGCCCTTCCAGCGGAAATGGAACATTTAAAACAACACCATGACATTTGAGGAAGGAATAGATGTTTAGGGAGAAAAAGAACAGAGAGAATACAATTGAACAGAAATCAACACAGAATTAATTAGGATGAAAAGGAAGAAAGAACCGGGGTGGGGGGGCAGATCCTGTTTAGGTATTTTTAAAAAGGCTATTTTTTTGGAAATCCCATTCCGAGTACCTTTCTTGCTGCTCTGTTTTTTGGAGTAGACTTAAAAGTAGACTGAAAGCAAGCCAGCTCTTGATGCCTGTCAAATAGGAAGCCTGAGTGGTCTTTTTCATATATATTTTTTTCTTTCACAGGCACCACCATCACCATTTTGCCCTTCAAAAGAGTAGCACTAGTGCCTGGGCAATAACTGGCAGATATTCTGAAAGCAACTTACATCTCTCAGTGTTGTGCAAGTATTTAACTCAAGCTGGTTTAGAACCACCATCACCCCCTTTCCTTCCTGACTCTGATGAATAAGAGTAACTGTCTTCAAAATGAAACTGAATTCAGGAACTCAATTGTGTGGGGGGTGGGAACATACAGATTCACTGTATCTTTTTTGATACAATTTAGTTTGGGAAGCGCTACTCTCGCCTTCAGAGACATCTGTGCTATGTAACATTGAATTGTATGCTTTGTTCATTCCTATGTTACTCATCCAATAATTAACAGGCAATTATTGGGGGGGAGAAATGTTCAGCACCTATTGATAAATATGACACATTGTGCATAATATTCTTTTAATTTCGTAAAACCTATTTTCCACACGATGTAAAACATTTTCTGAAGGAAGGGGAAAAAAACAACATCGGCCTCAATGCTTTGCTTTTTGTTTTTACATAGATATATTCAATGAGAAATATACAAGTCTCTTCTCTGGCTGTCTACACCTTAGAACAGGGGTTCCCAACCGGAGGTGCGAGACAATATTCTAGGGCAGGGGTAGGCAACCTTGGCTCTTTTATGACTCGTGGCCTTCAACTCCCAGAATTCCTGAGCCAGCCATGCTGGCTCAGGAATTCTGGGAGTTGAAGGCCACGAGTCATAAAAGAGCCAAGGTTGCCTACCCCAGTTCTAGGGGGTGCGAAAACTTGGCTTTAGAAGTTTCAAAATGATAGTGTATATGCATAATTCGTTATTTTGAACTTTTGTAAGGGGCAGGAGAATATATCAGAAACATTCTAAGGGTGCAGGGTATAGAAAAGTTTGGGAGCCGCTGCCTTAGAAGAAACAGTGTGGGAATGGCTCTTCCCTCCATTTTCCTATCTATTAGACCAGTGTCCCCAACCTTTTTGGTTTCACAGACTGGCAGCGGCAGCAGCGGGGGGGGGGATGGTTTCACACATGCAACCTAATCCCACCCATGTGCAAATAAAGTTTCATGCACTCGGTCGGGGGTTGGGGACCTCTGAATTAGAACACATCTATTTGTATTTTGCAGGAGAAGCTAACCATGCTGGATTGGGAATTCTGGGAGTTGAAATCCACAAATCTTAAAGTTGCCAAGTTTGGGCACCCCTGTCCTAGAGAATCATCAGCCTATAATGGCTAGTTAAGCGTGCCAATGTCATTAGGGTTTTCCTAGCAAGAAGTATTGGGACCAGAACCTGATATAATGTCTATTTGTTGAGGCACTTTTAAATTTTTCTATTTAATTTTTTTTAAAATGATACAGTAGATGCAAACATCTGCTGATGTGTTCCTTGCAAATATTACTCTGAGCAGGATGTGATAGGCAATAATGAAACTCTAAATATTAGAGCTGAGCAGTGACTCATATTTGAAGGCAAGGAGACACTTTAGAGTGTGTACATAGCACTCATTATATCAAACCTATCCATTCCTTGGAATTCTGCTATAATTGTGGTGCACCACCCCAATCCCAGGAAAAGATACAACTTCCTGAAGGAGTAGCAGACAATATCGTTTTGCCTTCAAATGCAGACACTGCAGGGCCCTATAAAACATAGCTGAGAAAATTGGTATTCCATCTGCAGGGAAAGCACAGAAGCTGAGCCCTCCTCCACATTTTCTTTATAATCAACAATTAAATTATGTTACATTTATGAATCTTAAGTTGTTTTAAAAAAACCTCTTTGTAATTTTTCTTTTGCCCTTATATTTACAATGCATGTATATACTAATGAAAATACAGATAGGAAAGGCCTCCATCTCCATTTTTTAAAAGTGCAGATACAATGATGGAAAAAATTCAAAGTGTAAATTGCGTTCAGAAGACAGGGAAGCTGAGGCCAATGCAAACCACTTCCATTATTATGCCAAGAAACTTACATGGATTTGTCCATGACATCTTCAATGGATGAACGGGATAAGAAACCGACTTTAACAAGAGATGAATTACGTTTCTGTATCAATGTGCTGGAAATCTTCCCCTCCATTTCAGTCACACATCACTTTTAGTTATGCCACAATGTGCAACTATTTGGAGGAAACTGAAACTCTGCACTTTGTTATAAAACCATATAGCAGCTGAAAGCTCTCTAATGATTTTGATTCTCAGATATGAATAACAACAGGATATATTTGTGCTTATCTGAAACCAAGAGAGAAGTTTTTTAAGGCACTTAAGGCACTATGCTGCTCAGTGACAGCATAGAAATTAGACACAGTTGTGAACTATATAACACAACCAGTTTGTTTATATAAGATCTGTATTTCAGTTTGTTTTTAATTCAAAAAATTCAACCAAAATTACTTGATTGTGTCAATCTAGGAGGGAAGATCTGCATAGAGAGATTGCTTCAGCTGCCAGCAGCAGGAAAGTATACTTCTCAGTCCAGGCTCCACTTTGTTGACACATCTGGAGATGGCTGTTCCAATCTGATGGCATCCATTGCTGCTTTTGTGTGAATTGGGTTGGGCAATATTTTCAATTTGGTTCCATAACAGCAGCAATTATACAATTAAATTCCTAAACCCATTTGCATTTTTTCTTCTCATCCATTAAACCTTTTATATTTAAGAGTTGCTGTCGGGCTTCTTCAAACCCTCGTTCTGTCTCTAATTTATTCAGTATCTATGAGAACAAAGGAATGTGTGCTTATTTTGCTTATTAAAAACAACAACAACAATTTTCCCCCAATGTTAAAAATAAGTTCTGCTTAAGTAACCATTCCTTCTAAAGCCAGGCTATTTTTGCACCTTCCTTTACAAGTTATTATTAATCACAAGATGAACAACACTTCTGTTGGCACTAGCAACCTCAGTTAAAATCACAAGTGTGTCTGTAGATACAACTCAAATAGCAATAGATGCATGTTGTATATCTGTTAAAAGCAGAAAAACTGGCATATTGAGTGCTAAAACATTTTCATTACATGCCAGCCAGATATAAAATGCTCTTGAGATCATAAAAAAATGTGATATTCCGTTTGCTTGGAAATTAGTTGGATATTACTTAAATCAGTCTAGTTAATCTACCTCACATGCATTGACTTCTGTGTTTTATTTATGAAAATCATAGTTTGCCATAAAAATAAGATTTGTTTCTGAAGTGTTGCACAAGACAAAGAAGACAGCAAAGGCCAGGGACAAGACAATGCAAAATCTGAAGGAATTCTGGATTCTCCTAAATTAAATTTTTGCATTTATTAAGTCTTAGAAAAGACTTCTATGCCATTCAGAAGCCCACAACTAACCAGGCTAGATGATTAGGGGGGGGGGGAAACCTTACCTTATCAAAGTATCTTGTTATATATTGATAAATTTTATTCAAGGCCTCGGTCTCATTAAACTCATTTTCATGTTTCTAGAAAAAAAACAAAAAGTTTGAGGAACTGTTTAAAGATAGTATTATTATCCATTATTATTATCCATAGTACATAAAATAGTAAATAATAATTATAAGTAAACATAGAAGGACAGAGGATAATATTACTGTTGTCTTTGATATATGTCTGAATAAATCCATTAATGGGAACTTTAAATACAGTAAGACACAGTTCCATTTACAACATACATCTACGTTCCAACTACAGCAAAAATAATAGACAGATACCTGTGATTCCAGAATTAAAAATTCTTCTAGCTCTGCTCTGGACAATGGAGGCAAATCCCTTATTGCTTTATAGAAAGCTTTAACTTCCTCTTTATAAAGTGGTATATCCTTAGCATAGAGAAGTTTATTTGTTGGTGCTTCCTTTGAGGAAGAAGAAAAGACGTGTCATAAAAGTTAGCAAGATGCCTCATTTGTAAGGGAGCCTCTGTGATGTCAAAATTAGGGAACAATCAGTTCTGGTCATCAGTCCTATCAGGCAATCTAGGTGAACATGATAAGACTGTTTGCAGGTTTACAGTCATTCTCTGAAATCTCTGAGTACAAAAATTTAGGAATGTGTCATTGGAATATAGTCTTTCAGCCAGAACAGCAGGCAAATACATGTCTGGTTCTTGACAGGTGCACCAAAACTTTCCTAGGAATAGCGACAGAAGAATTGGGGAGCTCAGAAAGCTAGCATAGGGTCCTTTTCAGGCAGTTGGACAGCTCTAGAAGAGAAAAGAGCTTTTGCATCTAATCCCAACTTCTGACAGTGTGATTTTTTTCCCACATTTCTGCTCTGGGCACCCTCCTGGTTTAAGAGTGGTCTATCTGTCAATCCTTTCTTATAAAAACCCACTTTGCTTGTTCTAAATATACACCTGTTCAGAGAAACTTTCTCAAACTATCATTACAAGATTTTAGAGCAATTCATGCAAAATGATTGCAGTTTTTTGATAATTAGGAAAAATTAATAATTGTTTCACACAAACTGGGCCAAACTGGCTAGAAAGTACCCCTGGGTGACCCTAGTCTAGCAGACATCATAATATATCCAAGAAGCTAGGTTAAGCTTGTTAAGCTAATACATTCCTCTGTACAGGTTATGAATCTATTCTAAAAAACTACGGACATAGAAGATATGAAGTTATATTCTCCAAAGACTATGGACATGGCTCAAGAAATACTTTTTCAACAAGTCACATTTAAAGATGAAAAGACCATTTTCAATAGGAGTAGTGCTTGGAAGACTGTAATCCTGTTAACTCACTTATCTGGAAGTTAGTCCTGCACAACTTAATAGGACTTACTTTTTAGTCCTGGGTTCTCTCTAAACTTGATTGTTTGCAAAACCCACACTAATTAGTACTCCTGGTGTTACCTAGTTGGGTAATGAAACAGCTGCAAGCAAACAACCAACCTCAGAGAGTACCAAGAATTCCTGTCAGGTTAAACTCAAGAATGACAGAGATTAATTCAGTCAGAGTTCAGTTGTTTATTTGCTTATACACAATAGACAGAATCTTGACAGACTGAACCCTTACTTATATTATACTAACAGGAGATTCTATGGAGTGATTATCCTAACTCTCTTCCTTTGTCACCTATCCAGCTCCAGGCTGGGCTGCCTCTTGTCTCCCCACCTTCCTTTCTGAAATATGCTCCCTCCTTCCTGGGAAACTTAAAAAAGAGGCTCTGGGTATGCATGAAAAATAAGATTCTACCTTTCCCAATTGTTGCTCTGACAGAGAAAATGCATCCATAAATGCTTGTGCAATGACTGACAGGCAGCCGTCTATATGTGGAGTCTTTTTAATATCAAAGACAAATTGAGGATTCTTCAGAATATTCACCCAGAATCGAAGAGGCAGACTAAACAAAAAAAGATATTTAAAACAGTTATATTGAAATAATTAAATACAAATCCTTCATTAGTCCCACAAGATGGCACGATTTAATCTTTGGAACTTAAGGCACACCCATGTTGCTTGTTCACACTAGATGGGTAGAAACAATTGGAGATAAGCAGCCTCTCAGAAAGCCAGGCCTAAGCCAGGCCAAGTACTTTCTTGCTCTGCTGCATTCTGAAACAGTTATGGTTTCTTGATGGTTTGTAAGGGTGGTCCTATCCAGAGCATGCTATAATAATAATCTGATTGTGAAATGACTGGTTGGTGAGTAACTGTCTGAAGGGCCTCATAATTTAGGAAACTGGTGCACTAAACTCTCTTCCAGCAGGAACTGACAGTTGTAGAGGAACCCCAGATTGCACACCATCTCAAATGAGGAAGAACCGTACATCCCACTGAAAGTTAGTGTATTGGGGGACTGGTTTGAGTAAACACAGCCACTTGGTCTTCTCAAGACTGAGTCGGTTTTCCCCATCCATACCCATACAGCCTGCAGGCACTAAGCCAGGACTTTAATGGTGTCACTTTACGAACTCAGAGTCAATATATAAGTGAATATCACCAGCAGACTGATAATACCTGACTCCAAACTGACAGTTGACCTTACCCAGCAGCTTCATGTATATGTTAAACCTGATAATTTCATGTATTATAGAAGGGAAGAGAGCCTGTAGTACCTAACAAGTAAGAAGCTATCACCTCAATTGGTACTCCCCAATTAACATCAGTTGATACTAGCTGCAGAGAAAGGAAGAGACTGTAAAATATGCTTTCTACCCCATGCCCAAAGTCAATCTGAAAGGATACTTTAGTCAATGATATCGAAAGCTGCGGATAAATAAAAAAACACCAGGATAAATATACCACCTCAGTCCTAGCTTCACCACAGGTCATTAACAAATGCAACCAATGTTATCTATGTGCCAAACCTTGGCCCTGAAACTGACTGAAATTGGTCCAAAATAACTGCTTCCTCCAGGGTTTTCTGAAGTTGAAGTTTGACCACCTTCTCTATCATTTTCTCTAAAAAGACATAATTGTCACAGACTTTTGGGCCCTGTGATGGTTTCTTGAGGAGAGGATACACAATAGACCCACCCTTTATTCAAGGAGGCCAACACTACTGCACATACCCAACCACAAGTCACCTCATGGGCAGCTTTAACCATAGAAGGGGAATTTGGATTTAACAGGCAAATGGCTGAGCCAATAGTCTTGTTCACTTCATAAGGAGTCACAGAATCAAATTCACTCCAAATAATCCCCCAGGACTTTGTCTCATGCATCTCAGCTGGACCTATTTAATCACAGTTGAACTACAAACACCTTTATCTGCCAAAAAGCAAGAATATTCTATATTCTGCCAACTTACAGTGAGCACAGAAATACCTGTTGGTTTTCCAGATATGAACCACATCAGGATCTGTAATTTTTTTATTTTCAGCTTGAGCATCCAGAAAATCAAAAAAATATTTAATAGCAACTGGGGCTTTATTGTTAGGCAAATTCCAAATGCTTCTAAAGAGCTTTTCAACAGTTGAGTGGATAGCAACCTGTGATAAAACAAAAAATATTTCATTATAGTATATATATTAAAAAATTGCTTAGGGTATAAATAATAAAAAGGCAATTTAAGCTACAACTACATACTGTTTGATAAGACTGGAACCAATACACTCCAATTAAGCTTAACATATCTAAAACCTCACATCTGGAACCTCATGCAGGGAGACATATTAATACATATTTACAAATTACATTTACAACTCTTCTTTCGTCTACGAAGATTGACACAATATATGTGCTTTTACTCAACCTCCATTCTCAGAAATACTTTATCCTCACAATCATTTGATAAAGTGTCATGAATGCAGCCCTTCTTAGAACTCCTCAATGTGTAACACACAGTATCCAATGATTCTCAATTTATGAAAGTCAAAGAGGAAGCCTTCTTACAAATATATGGATGTACACAGCCATGATTTAGTGCATAATTATATGTATTTAATAACGTCAGTATTCAGTTATATATAAAGCCTTCCCAAAATGCTGTTGTTTTACATTTAAAATAGAAAGTTTTGTGATATATTCATTTCCCCAGTGCTTTTTAGCCTCCACATGCAAGTAAGTCATTATGTAAGGTAATAGAATGTATGCTGAATAATTATAGCATTATTTTATGATTAGAAATAAAACCTTGGATTCACCTTAGTAGAGAGAAGTTTCGTGAGATACATTTCTTTGACTTTAAATTTTTGTTTTCCTTTATGTTTTGCACTCTGTGTTTCTTTGGCTGCTTCTGCATCTGGTAATATCTGTAAGAAAGGTTTACACAGATGTTCATGGAAATGCTACGATTAAGGAGCTAAACAAATGACTAATTACTAGGTATTAAGCTGACTTACCAGATGGCAATAGTCCTCAGAATATTCTCCATCTGGTCAACATAGTGAAGAGGGGGGAAAAGGGTAAACTGAATGTACATATAAGGATCAAGCTATGACCTAGAAAGTAGGCTGTTGCTGAGGATAAATGCTGTAAAACATGCATGGTTAGCTAAATTTATTCCTATTTAGATTACTACCAATATAGATGGTAAGATCTTTGATCATGGTATTCCTTTCTATTAACTAGTACAATTAATATTTAAGTGGAAATAGATGCTTGATTACAAATATCAGAAAATAGTATTCCCAAAATCTGGAAGGGGTAAATTGGTTTTCAATTAGGTTTTCAAAATCAGGTTTCCCAGGACTTCTATGAGTTGATTTTTGCAAGGCGTGTAGTATTCAATTTGTCTTTCATATTGTTTGATTTGGAGAGAATTGAAATCCTGGATGGGGCAAGTGAGCTTCTTAGAATCATATAGTTGCCCGATATTGAGAACAGAATATTTAATTTTTCTTCAGTTAAACAATTCAGTTCTTATCATATTGCTGTGTATCTAAAATTAGTTCTATATTCTCAGTTCATATGAACGTCTGAATGATAATTCAATTATAATTCAAAGAATGATCAGAAACTTAAATTTTCAAAAATCCAATATACTATATAAATAAGTTACTGTATTTGTTTTACCAGCTGATATATCTTGTTTCTTCTTAAATACTTTCATTTTTGCTCCATCTGAAATCTGAAATCATATAATAAAGCATGAAATTGAAATCTGTATCAAATGTCATACTTTACATATTCTCTGTATGTTAACACAAAATGTATGTTATAAATTAGTATATACCCCCCCCTAACAAAGACAAATTTTCAACACCTTTGGATGTTTATTCTTACCTCATAATGACCTATGGTGTTCAGCTTAGTAACCCCATTTTCCAAAATCACTGAGGAACCATCTACATCCAGAAGTTCTTTTTCTTGGGAAACAGACTCAACAGCTGACAACACAAATAAAATAGTTAATCTGTGCTTAGTTTTAAAATGGTAAGAGTGGCCTTTTCTTGTGAAGTTATTATGTTATTATGTGAAGCAAATGTTATGCTTATTGTATAGCACTGTTTATTTTGTATGGTTCACATAAAAGATGCGGCTTGAAATTGTATCCCATTTCTTCCCTAGTCATTTCTTCACTGTCCTAAATTCTTTATCACAGTAGAATTTTGTGAAAAGCTTCAAAGTGACTAGGCAATTGTGCTAGTGTCACTGCTGAAGGGGATATTTCCAGTACATATTCTAGGTCAACAAAAACTGAAACACTAACAAACTATTTGTGGCCAATGCTATGTACTTGCTCACTGATGCAATTTAGTATTTTTATGATTGGATCAATTTTATTTGATTTTTTTATCACTGTCCATTTCTCTGTAACAACCTGGATGGCTAGTAACTTATAAAAAACACAGTACAAAATAAAGAACCAACAATGTATAAATCCTAACATGATAACTGAGTAAAGCCCAACTAACCTCACAGACTCCAACTAAGTTCCCAGCCCCCATGCCTGGACTCAAATTCATGTCTTAGAACTTTCTGACAAGTCGGCCAGTCTTGCGACAGAAAAGAATCCCTTTCTGAGTCCTGCAAGATGACATTCTGTAACTGATGGGACTCACGACACGCCCCTCCTACCAGACAGGACAGATGGAAACAACTGGGGAGAGGCAGTTCTACAAATAAAGCCCCAGGCTGTGGAGGGTTTTGTTTGTTTGTTCAGTTTATATAGCCCTGCCCCACATCTCAGACACACTTGTTATAGCTGACAAGTGTATTGTCAGCTTGAATTGTACCTGAAAGCACCTGGAGAGCAGTGCAGAAGAACAAAAATATAGCAGGGGTGCATTTCTATTGTGCCTTTTCAGCAAAAAGCCACAAATGTATTTACAAAAAATCCAAGACATATTCAGGTAATAAATTATATTAAATGACTTCAATCTGTTAATCTTACAGTTCATATGTTAAATAGCAGAGAAATAATAATTTTTTAATTTTTAAAAATGCAAACCATATTATTAAAAATAAATAATAAAACAATTATACAATTGTGGAGAAAGAAAAACAAACAGCTACTTTTGAATTTATAATTAGCATAGCACTCTTAATATCTTACTCAGCCCCATTTCTCCTAGCTGGAGACCATATAGGGATCCGTTCTTGTTCAGAAAGGCCTGTAGGATCTTCTCTTTGGCCTGTCCAATGGTGTCACAATCCAGTACTTTAACTTGGATATTCTGAGTAGCACCACTGGCCTCATTTTCTTGGATATTTTCAAAGACAACATTTAATACCTAGAAAAGTGTGAATGTTCATTCAAAGTTACTTAAAAGTTAAAACTGGATAAAAATACACATAACAAGGATTATTAGGAATGCCTAACAGTGGCATTGCTGATTTCTAAAATATACTTCATATTTGTTTCTCTTGGATGAGCCCCCAAGTACACGTTCTGCTTTCCTCAGATACACACAGAATGTGTGTTTCTGAGTTGGACTAGATGACCTCCAAGGTCCCTTCCAACTTTATTATTATTATTATTATTATTATTATTATTATTATTATTATTATTATTATTATTATTACTATTACCTTCACATACAATCTTTCTCTGCTTTTCTTCTTTATGACTTCTATGTCCTAACATTGCTTGTCACAATGCTTTTGTTCTGGCAAAGGTTTCCTTCATTCCATAATCCATTCTCTACAATTCTTTTTCCTATCAGTCCAGTCTAGATTTTGTTAGATAAACTCCATATATCCACCATCCCCAAGCTTTCAGAGTAGTATTTATGGCTAGTATTTATATCCTGTAGTATTTATTTAGGGTGTTTCTTATTACCCTGAACTCCAGTAATTCTAGGTAATACAGATGACAGTTTGCTGAGTTTTACTTTATTATGTTTTACAGCTAAAGAAAAAACAACCACCAAGGCTTTTTACAGACACATAGGAAGTTATCCATGGGCTTATTAGAATTCTGATCATGCTGCTGCCCATCTTCAGACTAAACTACAACTTGGCCTTAGGCTGTACAAATACAAACCTGCTCCTCTCTTCCCTCACTTTCTTTTCCTTTGAGCTTATTTTTCTAAATAAGTGATTTAGGCTGCTGTAAAGCAATTTCATAGAAAACCCATAGTATTTGATAATGAATATTTCCAGGACTAAAGAATGAGATTAGTTCCACACTGCCCTGTCAAACCTCTCCATAACTGATCTTTTTCTCATGAAGAAAATGAGCATCATATGGTACAACTGAGATGGAACAAACTATCAGAATAGCTTTTGGATTTCCCCACAGCTCTGAATTACTTAGATCATCTTGAGCATATTGGAAGGAAATTGTTTATAACACCACAGAAATAATGGAGGCACATAAATAGCTCTCCTTCTCTAATTCTCCCCTGCCCACCTATAGCATGGTAACTCAACATGAACTCAGGATTTCTCTGAGTTTTAAAAGTGCATCAAATATAAACAGAATTTAAACAATTCCATTTCCGTACTGCTGTTTTCAATGTAGCAACTGAATATTTAAATCTAGAAATAATAATCCATAGTTAACTTAGAGAAAATAGAAAAAGAAGTTTAATTTTTCATCCTTTGTTGTTACATGAAATTTAAAGAGTATTTGTATCTGGTCCTATTTCCTCTATTCCCATTATCAGCATTTTCAATATTATGCTTTCTCTCTTATTATTTGTAGAACTTTGGAATGACAATAAGTACAGGTAGTCCTTGACTTACGACTGCAATTAAGCCCAAAATTTCAGTTGTTAAGTGAGACCGTTGTTAAGTGAATTTCACTTTATTTTATGACCTTTCTTGCTATAGTCATTAAGTGAATCATTACAGTTGTTAAGTTAGTAACAAGGTTGTAAAATGAATCTGATTTCTCCATTGAGTTTCTTGTCAGAAGGTCTCATATGTGATCGTATGACCTCAGAACACCACAACCATCATAAATATGAGACAGTTGCCAAGCATCTGAAGTTTGATCACATGATCAAGGGGATACTGCAACAGTCATAAGTGTGAAAAACGGTCATAAGTCACTTTTTTCAGTGCTGTTGTAATTGGAACAGTCACTAAATGAGCTATTGTAGGTCGAGGACTACCTGTATTGTCTAGTGCATGAATAACATGCACTCTGCATCCTTGATAAGAAGGGAATGGTATTATGTACATATTTTGAAAGTTGCTTCCTGTTGAAATGACTGATTTGTGGGTGGTGCAATCCACTAAGCTTAGTTTCAGACATAGAATGATAAAATAATTCCACTGAACTTTATGTTATCTCTGATCTATATATACAGCCATGCGTTGATGGTGTTGAGATGTTATTACCACAAAGACAGAATTGAAAAGATAAAACAAATACTTGGAGGTATTTTTATGGAATGGAATTGTTTTCAATATTCTGGGGCTTATTCATCTTCAACAAAAAATATATTAAAATGATAGGATAATTCTTTACCAATTTCCATAACTCCTGGTAGGTGAAATAGATACTAAAGCATATTAAACATCTGTCAATTAAATTAAGTTAAAAAGTCAGCCTTTCTTAGCACTGAATCTTGAGTTTTGGAATACATTATACAAAGCCTTTATTGAAATATATGCTTCTTTCATACAAACTGTCTTGATTCCAGTCATAAAGACATTAGCTAACATACCACTGTGCTGAATTCAGGGGCTTGCCAGAGTAACCAGTCTTCATTTAGTGTGTATAGGGCCTTGCAAGTTATTACATCCACAGGACCCTTGATAATCCTTTGATTTAAAGTTGTTACAAGTAAAAAGAATGGTTCCCCAACTGTTTCCTATGAAACAAAATGAAATACAGTTATTGTCTTTTGTTGCATTTCTTTGCAACTGTTTAATGAATGTGGTGTGCAAAAAATAGGGAAGGGGAAGTACTAATCTTGCCCCACTTGTTGTAGTTCAGATCTGTTTTTGAAAAATATGCATATTCAATTCACACCAAACCTTAAAACCAAGCTATTTCTTTGTATCTATTTGTAACAAATATGATATGTAATGAATTAAATTAACATGCAGTTGTTATGATCTACCAATCAGTTACAGATTTTTTTGCTCATGTCAAAGTGGCTTCTGCAGGAAATATTCAGGAATGTTTAAAGTAATAGATTACTTATGTCTCATGTATCAATCTGAATTTATTTAATGCATACAGAATGCCAAGTTTATGAAATTTAATTTAATTAAAATAAGAGGCTATCTGCAAAACTTGTGCCAGTAATCCACAGTGTCAAAATAAAGCAAGATTGGATGATCAACACTGCTAGGAGACCTAGTGTGCTGCAACACAGGAAAATGTGATCAGGAAAATTTGTATGCAAATAAATCAGTCTCTTGCTCACTGATGTTATATAGCAAAAACATATAATATATAATACTTGCCCGAAGAAAACCAGAAAGGCAAACTGACATCCAGTTTGTAAGCAGCTTTTCTACTACTGATTCTGTACGCCTCAGCATCAGCTTAGGTTGTATATTGCTAGATTGCTCCATCAAATCTTTTGTCAAAACTTCTAGAATATTAGTTAAATAGACTAGATTGGTCTGTAGTGCAATTGTCAAAAACGATGCAAACAAGCATCTGTTTAAAAAGAGGGGAAAAAACAGGATAACAATAACTCTGAGCATTAGGAATTTGATTATTAGCTTACAATAATACTAGCAGCTTGATCCAAACTCACCCACATTTTGTCATGTGCCATACAAAAGCATGAGATGATTACTGGAACTATTAAATATAAAGGGTCTATTTAACAGAAAGGATTGATAACCAAAGGTAGCCTAGTACATCTAAGAGCAGACCATTGATTGGAAAAGTCACCAATCAAGACTACAAATATAAACAAAGTCTGCACTGTTCAGAGAGTTAAGAACCTGAATATTATGAATGTAAACTCTGTTAGCTATTTTACAGCTGAAGAAAAAGACAGGAACCTTATCAATAAACACCTGAGTACTGTTCAAACAATAAAACTGGTTATTCTTTAATCACCTAATGGCTCAAATTACACAAATTATGCAGCAGAAAATTAACTTACATAACTTCACATCTGAATTTAAATTAAAAAAAATGGTTTTACTATGAATAATATAAACCCATTTCCCCATCCACTTCAGTTGAGAAGTATTCACACAATCTCCCAAATGCAAAGGCTAGATTAAAGTGAAAGTATTGATTGATAAGATTTATAGGGCTTATCATAACCCAGGGTGACAAGATGAGAAGAACTGATTTTGACTACTCAAAAAATGAAGAAATCAACAAGAAGAAAGACATTTTCAAAAAACATTTGACTATTTTAACCCCAAAAACGTGAGAATTTGGTGCCTGTTAATTTTCCCAAAGATGCTTTTTCACGAGGCAACTGGACTTCCTTGTTTTTCTTTGAAGATGTTTCGCTTCTCATCCAAGAAGCTTCTTCAGCTCTGACTGGATAGTGGGGAATGAAAGGATTTATATTCCTTGTAGACAGCTGTTCACTTGTATTCTTTTAGCGAGTTGTTAAAGCTACCTGGAAGCTTATCTGTGTCTTCAGAGTCACCTGAGTAGCGCAAATGGGTGAGGAACCTTCTTGGAATTGTTGAAAGAACTGTGTTAGAGACTGCAGATAGATGATGTTGGATCCCTCCCCCTCTGTTGAGAGAGGGCTGTTCAATTTTGACATAGATGACCTCTTTGACCCCTCTTTCAAACCAGCGGTCCTCTCTGTCCAAAATGTGGACAAAATGGTGACCCTGAAGACACAGATAAGCCTCCAGGTAGCTTTAACAACTCGCTAAAAGAATGCAAAGGAACAGCTGTCTGCAAGGAATATAAATCCTTTCATTCCCCACCATCCAGTCAGAGCTGAAGAAACTTCTTGGATGAGAAGCGAAACGTCTTCAGAGAAAAACAAGAAAATCCAGTTGCCTCATGAAAAAGCATTTTTGGGATAACTATGACCTGGATGACTGAGAATCTCCATAGACATTTGCCTGTTAATTTGTCCCCAATTTTGTATAATTTACAGAATTTAAATTTTATAGCATACCTATCTTTCAGATCAAAGGTTTTCTGTTTTTCAAGAATGTGAATCAGAGTAACAAGAAAATGTTTGTTACAAATTAATGCATATAGACCCTGGTCTTTGCTCTGAAAGAAATGAAAGATAAAAATTACATTATTGTTCACCTATTTTTAATGTGGTGTATATTTAATTCTTAAAGCTGCAAAAATCATACTTTGATATTTAGAAATCCTGCTACAGATATTGATGTTATAATAATAATAATCTTTATTGATTAGCCCTTGAGCCATATCAAAGTGCAAAGTTCCAATAACAAATCATTACCAAAGTCTAATAAAAGCAATTTAAAATAAAATTTGATAAAATACAGTTTAAAATGGAACTAGAATAATATATGACTTAAGATGAAATTGGAGTAAAATACAGTCTAAAATGAAGTTAAAATAGAGNCATAAGGTAAGTTGTTTTGATATGGGGATCCCAATGAGTCATTTGTTTGATATATAGACCGAGGAACCTGTCTCTCACACTCTTGTACAAGCAACAATCAAATAGTATGTGAGCCAGGTCTTCTACCTCTGCTGCTCCGCAAATGCAGAGACGCTCATTGTAAGGTATAGAATGGAATCTCCCATATCTGACCATTGTGATATTGATGTTATAAGAAATATCAAAGAGGCAGATAAAGGAACACATTATTCCTCTGAGTAAAACTTTTCAGACTTCTTGCAATATCTGTCCCCAGCTTGGATATGCAATATTTCTAGATTCTGTAAAAAATCTAATATCTTAGAAATATTTTTAAAAGCACAAACAAACTTAAGAGAATGAAAATTATACTTACTAGTGGTTCATTAGAGTCTTCAATAAATATAGATGAAATACCTATAGTCTAAACAAAAAAAAAAATGTGAATATAGTATTAAACATTTTCAAAACACTTGGAGCATAATGATGCTGATTTTGATGAGGTGTTGTGTTCTGAATGTTCCTTCTCTAAAATACAGTGACCTGAATTTTTTTAGAAACTATAGGCTTATAAATTAGATGCATACTGAAAGCTACACATTCAGTCTGTGGAAATCATTTCTTAAGAAAAGAAAAACAAAACCAATGCTGGTTCAAAACTGAAGTGTCTCTCATCTGATTGTGTAGGGGCACCAGGAAATACTGGCCCTTTCTGTAGCTGGAAAGTTCTAAGTTATGGCTACTCAACAATGAAGAAATCAACAAGAACTTGCTAACTTTAAGACTGGCTCAGGAATTCTGGAAGTTGAAGTTGATAAGTCTTAAACTTGCCAAGTTTGGAGATCCCTGATCTAAAACACTGCAGTATTTGTGCTTTTTCTTTAATACAAAAGATTTGCATAAGATGGGAGGGAACCCTGAATTTCTTTTCTATTTTTATTACCTCCATATTCTACCACATTAAAGGAAGATGATGCTTTGCAAGTGAGTTGATGAATTAGAAAAACTTTTTTAGTTACAAACTGAATGCCCTTTAGCATTTTAAAACAGTGTAAAATTTGAAGCAGATCCTTATCAACTATCTGATTTGTGAAACGTTGGTTGTTTTCTCCAGATGTTATTTTTTGTAGATTAAATTTAAAAAACTGAAATACATTATTTCAATTACTTGTTTACTATAGACAAATAATCATTTACCTCTGGGAAAAAAGTTCTATGAACAAAATGCTTGTAGTCAAGAAATGGAATTGTTCCAAAACTATCAATTATATCCAATTTTTCAACTTGTAGTTCAACAAACCCTATAAAAGAAAAAAAAAGTCCACTGTAGTGTTGATGTTTATAATGTAACATCCTAGTAACAGTTTTCAGTGTGATTCTGGAAAAGAATGATAAGGAAAGGAATGGTTATCAATATGTGCCTTTGTCCGTATGTTTGTGTAGATGTGTTTATTTCTGTGGAATATGCAAAACTGACTGTATCTTTTTAATAGGCAGATTTTTAAAATACATTTTTGTGTACAACACAGTAATGACCAAGAAACTAAATAGCAGTTTCCATTAAATGTTGATCATCAAGAGAAGATTAGGTAACTAGAAAGCCTAAGTAGCACTCAGCAGAATGTGGTGCTTTTTTATTAGTTTTTAACTCAGGGATATCAAATGATTATTTATTGTAAGATTAGCAATAATACTCTGTGGAAAAGTTTAAATCCAAATCCCAATAAAGACAACCATGCATTACATGTCAGAACAGGCTCCTACAATCACATTAAGATTTAAGATAAACACATAAAAATAGTTTCTCTGTTTATCTGCAAAAAACTTAGTATGAGATATTTAGGGAATGGCTTTTGTTACATTAAATTGGGGAAATCAGGTCTTTTAGGTGTAGCTAAACTTAACATTATTGCAAATGCATAAACCATTTGTCTATTCTAACAAATTTCTTTATGTATTATTTGTGATCCTGGCAAGGTCTGCATAGATTTATCTATTACTGACCTCTTTCTATTAGAGTAGACCTTGTAGTCTATGTTTGTTTATTTGTACATATAGTTCTTGTTTCCTACGAATAAGGGGAGATTGGCTAAAATGAACACAGAAGCATTGCAACAGTAAAGGCAGCTTATGAAAGGATTAAAGAATATTAAAGGTTTTTTGAGGAAAAAGATGCTTCCTCCACAACTCTATAATGTGGTGGGGTAATTTACAAAACCAAAATTCTGTATTTGATATAATAATAAAATAATTGCATAAAAATAATGCAACAATTCTGGGAATTCTTACATCCAAGTGTCAATTCATTCACATGCATTCTGCAGATATAAATTTACCTTCCCGTATTTCTTTACGAAGTTCACATTCTAATAGCTCCAGATGTTCACTCAATTTTCGATTTAATTGTTTGGACTTTCGCTGGGTGACAAAAAATGCAACTAAAAAAAAATAACATTAAGCTAACACAGAGGTGTTAACATGTCATCTGTCCTAATAAATATATATTTATAATTTGTTTTAAAAGGACAAAAATAGCATTTTAAAATATCTGAAAACTGGTGCAGTTCAGAATGGCCAAGTTTAAACTGACATGCAATGTATTTAATGTATTTAAATCAATACATTAAAAGTATCTGCACACTACAAAAACAAAGAATAGTAATAGGACTGTAGTTAGTAATAGAAGCCCTAAGCATTCTTCAAAATTTTGGGAATAGGATTTTCCTACAAATGCTTTCCTTTTTGTCATCCCACACCATCACAAATCTTGACAAGGTTTGGAGGCCTCTGCCTAGAAGGGATAATCCATGGGGTATTGGTGGTGGTTTGTTCTCCAGGTTTGTGGTTTAATTTTTGAAAGTTCTGTCACCACATTAGGTAACATCATCAGCGGAACTTTGGTTGAAGTGTCTTGCTTCAGTTCTCTTCTGATTTTATAAATCTTATGTGGTCAGTTAGTCACGTGACCGACTAGTCACACTGTGTGAGGGTCATCTGGTGCTGAGGTCACTCTGACTGGACATCATGTGAGTTGGCTGGTGGTCGACGCCAATCTCTCGATTGATCCAACTTCTTACAGAATCATAGGCTGGTTGCAGATAGATGTGTTTGTTGATTGACCAGGCTTTGACAAATTGTGGCATATAGTGGCATAACCAATAATTTTTGTTCTGTCCAAGTTGAACTGGTATTATTCAGTGTTGATGTGAGTCGAGATCAGGGATTTGTGGTTATGTCGACAGATTGCTAGTTGGTGTTCATGGATTCTTGTGCACAGTTGTCATCCTGTTTGTCCAACAAAGAATTGGTTGCAGTTGTTGCATTTGATCTTGTAGATTATGTTGCTGTTCTCTTCTTTCTGTACTTTGTCCTTGGCTCTAGACAGCTCTTGTTGGAGTGTTGATGTTGGTTTGTGGACCGCCATTATTCCCAGAGGATGAGGAATTCTGGTCCCCATTTCTGACACTCTTTTGATGTATGGTAGAGTTTGTTTCCATGCTGTGGCTGACTGTGTGGTATGACGGGGTCTGGGTAATGTGTGTTGGAGTATGAAGGTTTTGAGTAGCTGTTGAAGAAACATTCAGAAACTAAACAACAAGCCCAGAGAACAAACCACCACCAACATCTCCCAGACGAACTACAAATATTTTTCACCAGTCAACAGGGTTCATTATGCTGATGGAACTAAAGAATTTATATAACTCAGTCTGAGGCTTTGGAAAGGTTTTGCATATAGCAAGGGAGAGAAAATAATAGGATGGATCATTAGTCAGATACAGTATAAGCAGAACTTCTTGAGTTGTGAGATGATTATAGGCAAAGTGCTCTCTGATGACTCTGAGTGAATTTAGCTGATGGTTTTGGTGATCAGCAGTGCTTTGAGCTATATCAAATGGCTTGGTTTATTTTCATTTAGTTTATTTTCATTGGTTATCTTATACAACTCTGTTTCGTAACAAATTAATGGACAGAGATAAGTATGCAATTACTTACCCACAATTACTATTGGGATTAACAAAAGAATGTAGAAGAATGAATAATTCTTGTTTTCATTAGGAACTTCATACACAAAATTCCCCACCTTGACCTATGGATAAATATGACATTGATTTAAATAATGTATATTATTTATATATTATATATTTATAGAAGACTGCAGTCAGTATATATTGAATCTGTTACAGAGATAAAAGGAATTGATATACTCTTTAAATTTCTAAAATAGTTGATAGTAATGTTTTAAATTTATTTGATTATCTTGTCTTTTTACTTAGAGAGCATTCAAGAAAAGCATTATTGAAAGATAGAATTTACTTTCCAATTAAGCAATGAGAGATCTTTCCCAATTATGGAATAGTATGCAACATAAACAGAGTCCAAGCAAGCATTTCTCCTCTCTCAAAATCAAGAGCAGCTATCCTATATTCTAAGCATAAAAAATGCAGATTACTTGTAATATTCAGTGTGTAGATATTCTGTTAATTTAACAAATTAGTTTCCTGGTTATATGGAAAATTGCAGAGAAATTATGTGGGCAAATAAGACTGAGATTCTATAGAGAGAGAGAAGCATACAGAAAAAGAGAAAAAACGCAGGGCTAACTGTAATATTAAATTGTATAGTTCAAGATATAATACACTTTTATATAACCTGCAAAACAGAAGAAAAGAAATGTAATGCTACTTTATTCTATCAGATATTATTTTCTGCAAGTAAATATTGTCCAATTATAGCTAAAAGCACAGGATTGTTTTGCAATAATATATGTCATGATTAGTGAAATCTGGTATATGGTTTCCGTGCTTTATTTAAGCACTTTATTAATTCATTAGTAAAATAATGGAAAAGTATTAAAGAAATTATTGAGACAGAGGAAGAAATGAAAAATTCTATAAGGCATTATATTGATTTTCATACCTTTTGATTTTTTTCATAATGATTTGGAACCAGGGATAGGTAAATTGCTAGCCAAGTTTGCTAATATTATCAAATAACTGGAAGCAGGAAAGGACAGCAACAAAGTTACTAAAAGGCTATTTCCTTATGGAAGAAGAGCCAATGAAATAGTGGAAATTAGAGGCAAATATATGAGCGATGGATACAATGTGAGATATAATTCAATCTGACATGTATCTCCTTGATTAGATTTGAATTGTCTGTCTAAAGCTACACACCTGTGGCTAGTTTCAACATAGGTTAACTGAAATAGGTTTAAATAAGTCCTCTTCTCCTTCTCTTTCCCCCTAGGGCTATTTCAGTAAATAAAAATGAAATCTTAAGTCAATTTTGTTTACTATTGATTATTTTTAGTCACAAAGATGCAAAAGAGAAGTCATGTCTACACTACCACCATTTTCACTTCCTAAACCTCCAGAAGTCATCCAAAAATGATTCATGATCATCTTAGCGTCTGCCCTCAAAATGCTGAACAAGGAATTAAAATGACTGTTACACATGTCCTGCAGTAATGAAAATCCCTCCAGAACCATCCCATACAAAGGGAAAGGAAAAAAAAGGAGGGGGGGAGGAAAACCCTCTCAGTTACTTGGCACATGTAACTTTGCAGAAGATAAAGAGAAAATAAACTTTTGTCAATTTCAGCACTAGCAGCTGTTGTTAAGGAAGTACCCCAAAGCCACCATGTTAGCATTCCAGTTCCAGAACCGGAATCAGGAAAGTTTATTTTCAATAAGGAAATAATGTTCCAGAAGAACAATCCTAGCTTTCTGCAGTATCATACACTCCATAATTGAGACAGAAATAAATCAATACTATGCAACGCTGAAGTTACAAAGAGTCTGGAATTTATTTTGATTGGTATGGAATGTGTAGAAATGTTCTAAGTAAAAACAAAACAAAACAAAAGCTTCCAAATGCTTGCTTATAGAATCCTGCTCCCATAAGAATAACTTTTGCTATGTGCCTTCATGCAGCATCTGAAAGGTATTTCTCAACTGACAAAAATCTTGAATTAAAAAAATACTAGAGACACATCACAGTTTGAGAAATTGCATTGACACTGCAACACTGAGAGAAAAGCAGAAGATATAATTTCGTTTTAGAGATATGCAGCATTTTATCCAAAACAGGGGAAATGCCTTGGGATCAGTAACTGTTCAACTATTGAACTTAAAACAGGTTACACTTTTTCCTGATCTTGCACAGTGCTGCATAGCTCCTGAACATCCCAAATCCTAAATGTGTATTTTCCATGGACCACACTGGCCAATATGTATATTTCATATGAGCCAGGAAGAGTACAGATTCTCTAAGGTGTGCTGACAAATATAGCATATACATCCATATCAGATCCAAAGTGTTTTTCTGTTTTGGATTTGACTATGCACAGCTTAAGAGTTTTAGATTAGATGAATGCTTAGATTCTAAAATGCTTAGATTCAAGCATTACTCACATTGAAAGCAATGTAATTCTATCTGTATGTACATAATGCCAAGGACTGTTTCCAGGAAGGAGACATAAACATTTAGCATATGGAAAAATCTAATTTTGAAGTATCAGTATATGATTTACAAATTCAGAGACATATTTTTAAGAATAAAATTTAATAATACAAACTTAACAAACAAAAAATATGCAATCAATGCAATATTTACTCACATAAACTTTCATGCTTGACTTGTTAATCTTGCTGATAAGGTTTTTTTCCTGTCTAGCTCTACAGTGTATTATGTTACGAGTAGCTGTTTTTGAAATATTTTGGACATTGAATGTTATGTTGATCAGATTGTTATCAGATAAGAAAACTTCAAGTTCATGTCTAGAAAGATTTAAGTTGTCTTTTTTTTTCTAGAGAAAGAAATAAAAAAAAAATAGAATGAACCATACAATAAAATCCAAACAATGAAAATTGTTTAAAAGAGAAGTTTTAAGACAAAGAACTTAAAAGCCCATAACTTACATGTATTTTCAATTCCAGGTCAGGTTCCAAATCAGTTATGAGTTCATAATGAAGAAATTTAGGATCAGGATAATATTGAAAGTCAACGCAAGATATATTAATATTTTTAACTTTAAGAATAATGTTAATAATCTTGGGTCCTTTCTCCACCTTAACAGCTGGGGTTGTAAAACTGCATTCAAAATTATTTTTGTAGCAAGTAAAATGCTAAAAAAAAACAGTATTGAGAAAATTATAAATTATAGTAATACACACACACACACACTACTGTTAAATGTTGATCTATGCACAGTTCAAATGTTTAAACTTCACTTAATTCAGTGAGATTTGATATTGCTCATATACAGTATATATTCATACGTTTATTCACATACATTTTAAAACACCACTGAGCCATCAGCAGCCTAATTAACTTGTAGACTGAGTCATAACTGTTTTAAATTATATGCACACAAATACAAAATACATTCACATCGAGATTTGATATTTAACACAAAACCATTAATCAGATGATGTTTTATTTAGAGATGGTGATAAGCTATTAAAACTGTTTTTACTTGCTGGGACGAAGGGGAAGTTACTTAGCATCATTCCGGACTGGCTCAGGGCATAAGAGTTCCTTTCTCCAGAATTGGCTCCAGTTGGTGCTGATAAGCTCTGTTGTGCAGGTCCCCATAAGGGCCTTGCTTCTCTCCACTCTTATTTAACATTTTTATGGAGCCACTGAATGTGGTCATCCAATGGCACAAGATCAGGTATCATCATTATGCTTGGTCAGTCAGGGATTGAGAGGTACAGCTGAGTGTTTTTATCAGCTGCACCTCTCAATATCAACCAACCAAGGATGTTCTCAAATTTCTTTCTCAGTATCTGAAGTCTGTAGAAGCTTGGATGGAGAAGAAATAGGTTTAGGTTAAATTCTAGTAGGAGTGACTGACTAACTGTGGGCTTTAGGATTCCCAAGTCCAAGCTGTGGATTTTCCACATTGGTTTTAAATGGGGTTGTACTCACAAATGAAAGCAACTATAATACAGGATAATGTTGCAGGATCCAATCTGGGTTGGTCACTGAGACCAGAGGTTTAATCTTCCGAACTTTCAGACTTATGCTGGAGCCCATCCTCAGGGAACTTCTCTTTCACCAGAAAGTTGCAATGCCCAAGTCAGAACTAGCGTACAACTTGGGGATATCCTAGATTTTGGATCCTGTTCAAAAAGTATGTGGTAGGCATGGCTTGCAAAATTTTGTGTGGCAATTGCATCAGTCTCTGGATTGGGAAGTCCAGCTCAAACATTTGTTCCCCAATGAATGCCCTTTTGGATTACTGCTACATGCTGTGCAATATGACACTTCCTTAAGAACTACACAGTCACATCTGTGTTCACCCACTACTATCCAAGCTGTATTGATTCCCAGTAAGTTTCCCGGTGCAATTCAAAGTTCATGTTATCATCTATAAAACCTCTCATAACAGTTTGGGTTACATGGGAGAACCATCTGTGCCCAATTATTTCTGCCTATCCCACAGAGTCTGCATACGACAGATGTCATTTGATGAGACCTACAAAGCACTTTCTCTGTCTGCCTTGTAGAAAAGCATAAGCCCCTGAAATTTGGATGGCCCTGATCTACTGGCTTTCTATAAAGTCTGTTTTTTTCTCAGGCATTGGACAGGATAGTTAGAGAACCTGTTTTTAGGGGATTGTGGATATTAATATCCATGTTGCCTCTGGTGTGATTTGTTTTGTCCTGTTTTCTGTTGATATTTTTATTATTAATTTTAATTGTAGTTCAACATCCAGATGCATATGTTGAATGAGTGGCCTTATAAATCTAAATTCTTTACAAGCACTATCAATACATTTGGCCACAATATTCATTTTGATTCATTTAAAGGCAGAGACACCTGGAGGAAAAAGAAAATATACAATACCTACCATTAGGTTTTGTGGAAAGTCACTTAAAATAACTTCATCTGCAATACTCAGATATTTCCCATGTATAGTCACATTGCGACCTCCTCTGGGGGGGGACAATGAAAAATAATGTTAAAATTGGAATTTCTTCATAAATAAAAATTAAAAAATCATACAATCTAATTTTCAGAGTTGAATGCAAAGTACATTAGCTCAGAAAATCAAATTTTAATCTCAAATAATCAGGCAATCTACACATTTCTGGTTTCAACTATCCTCTCCTACAGCTCTACACAAAGTTTCAGGCAACTCACTAGCTGTGGCCTTAGATATTGACAACACTTAAAGTGTATAGTATCTACACAATAAAACTGAGCTTATAACACAATTCCTGCAATATATAATTATGTTTCTAAAATGTGAATTTAAACATTCAGGTGTTCAGTGCATTACAGAAAGAATCACCAAAGAAAAAATATATTATTAAAAAAATATGCATAATATACCACAAAATATTTCAGAGCATATAAGAGAAAAGGCTCAAAATGTATTTCTTAGGTTACTTTCGCCTTAGAGAAAGTAGCACATGGCATTCAATATACAAGAGTACAAACAAAAAGGCAGGTAGAGAAAAACTTTTTTTTATTGCTCAGTAACTCTGTTACCCATGTAAAAATACACAACTGAGGGCACATATGTTGTTTTGATTACAGAATTATTTTTCATGCTGATATATGTAACAGAGTTATGTGAATTTGCTTCGCTACTAAAGTTTCTAGTAACTTGTAGTTTAATAATAGTAAAAATGATTTTATTTTGATCTCATTTTTCTAGTAATGTGAATTTGCTTTGCTACTAAAGTGTTCTAGTAACTTGCAGTTTAATAATAGTAAAAATAATTTTATTTTGATCTCATTTTTCTAGTAATACATTGAAAAAACTTGCTGGACATAAAATGTTTCCTGTTTATGAGAAAAAAAAGTGAGGAGGAAGAGGGATTTCTATAGCCATGTCATGGTACAGAAATGTTCATTGTATTATTTGCACCCATTTGCTATTTGGGTATGGCAGAGGAATAATAAGCTGCTTTACATAAAAGGGAAAGTTGTAAAGCAGGGGTTCTCAACCTTGGCAACTTTAAGACTTGTGGACTTCAACTCCCAGAATTCCTCAGCCAGCAAAGCTGGCTGAGGAATTCTGGGAGTTGAAGTCCACAAGTCTTAAAGTTGCCAAGGTTGAGAACCCCTGTTGTAAAGGGAGAGAGAGAGAGAGAGAGAGAGAGAGAGAGAGAGAGAGAGAGAGAGAGGTCTATAAACTCAAAGGATCTACTTCTATCAAAAACAATACTGTGTTTAGGTTAGACTATTAACTTTCAGGTGGTTTAATCTTTTATGATAGTGTAAATTAAATATTACCTCATCCAAGTATTATTTGGAAGGATCTCAGAACATGATGGAAAAGAGACGTAACGTAGTGGAAGAGAGGCTGAACATTCAAACCCGTTTTCCTTTATGCATGCACTCTTGACTTCTTTACGACTTGGTGGTAAACAGAATTTCATGTGTGTGTCGTTTAACACTTTAGTAACATATCCCCTAAGGAAAAAGAAAAAAGTGCCCTTTTTTAATGCATTATTACCCTCACTGAAAGTTTCTGCTACCTGAACTCCTTTTAAAACTCCTTTTGTCCCCTTTCACCTATTCTGCACTGTCTTCTGTTTTTTCCTTAAAGGCTTAGAACAGTGGTTCTCAACCTGTGGGTCAGGACCCCATTTGGGGTCGATCGACCATTTCACGGGGGTCGCCAAGCAAGGCTGTCCGCCATTTTTTTTGTCGGCCATTTTTTCCCCTTTTCCGGCGGGTGCCTTACCTCCCTTGGGCTGGGCCAGTTGGTGGTCGGCCTGCTCCATCTCTGCCACTTGCCAGCTACGCCTCGGCCGGTGCAGGGGGCGGAACCACGCATGTGCGGTGCTCCCGGGCAGGGAAAGTCCTCGACTTATGACCAGTTGGGTAGTCCTCGACTTACGACCGGTTTAGTCCTCGACTTACGACCGGTTGGGGTCGCGGCATTAAAAAGGTTGAGAACCACTGGCTTAGAACCTCCCTTCACCTCCATGGGCCTCAATGGTGTTTCTTAGTATAAAATATTGTCTACAGTTCTTGATTCTTGTTGACACTCCCATTCAGCTCTTTTTTTGATTATCTTTCTTATAGAAAGTTGCTTCCTCTTTCAGCTAGCTCTTTTCTTTGCTTGATCAGATAAAACTTTATTCTCTTATCTAAGTACTGTTCACATAGAATGAAGATATTATAGATTTGTAAACTCCTTCAGCAAACTGATCTTTGCTCTCTCTGTTCCTTCACTCAGACTGCTTCTTAGAATCTAACTGCCTCCAGTAATTGCTTGCTCAGCAAGAACAGACTATCTAATCAACTATAGCTGAAGACTACCAGCTCTCAGTATGCATTGCTTGCAATCGTAACTATTTGGGATATTATCTTGTTACTTTTCACAGCTGAACAAACAATCCCTCAGAGAATTAGCTTCTCCAGAGACTTTTCTCTTTTCTTTGTTTCTTTTTTACTGGCAAATTCCCATTAACTATTCTTGTTTACAGTACTTTCTCAGTGTATTGCTCCTTGGAAAGGACTGCTATTCCTTGTACAGTCTCTGCTTATTCAGGAGGTCAATAAATCACCCATAGTGAGCAATCAGCAACCTTCAGAAGACACTCCTTGCAATCAACATTTTTCTCTTTACTGTTGAACAAATAATCTCTCAGAATATACAGTTTCTCAAGTCACTCAGATTCTCTCTTGCCTCCTTTTCATATTGAAAATGTGGAAGAGCATGGTCAAGGTATACAGTACAGTAAGTTCTAAGAATGATTGACGAAAATATGAATAACTATCAGGAGTCTGATGCCATACATATTTAACTCTCCTTTCCATTTCATTTATCCTATATTTACTATTAATTTTGTTCATAGCTTTATGTCTTCATATGTACATTTCAGATAGACAAATTCAGTGCAATATTCCACAGAGAACAAGAAAAAGATACACTAATGAATTTTACTTCCTAATTACTAGCAAAGTTCCACTTTGGGGGTTAACAAAACAACAGAACAGTTCCAATTTCCATGTATAGGAATTGTAAATCTACGTTTCTTAGGTAGACACTATGTGACTTATATAGTACAATCACCTGTGCAAACGGTTTCAATATAAAATCAACATATTATTTCGACTCACACATCTCGTTGGCAGCTGCTTGTTCCAGTTATCTCCATCAAAAAATTTGATTTTGTAAAGTTTTCTCCTATGACTAGCACTTCAGGTTTACCTAATGTTGATATGTAGTTCGGTTCAATGGAAATAATTTTGATAGGCTATTGGAAACAAAATAAATTTATATTAACATATCCAGGCAATCTTTTTAAATTAAGTAATAGAATCATGCATTTATAAATACCTTTAACATTCCTTTGTTATTAATAGTTTGGGAGCTAATTTGGTGTAGTAGTTAAGGAACCAAGCTAGAACGCAAGAGGCCAAGTCCATCCTTAGCTAAGAAAGCTAGCTGGATGACCTTGGGCTGGTCACTCTCTCTCAGCGCAACCCATAGAGTTGTTGTTGTGGGAAAAATAGGAGGATAAAGTTGTGCTGTATATGTTTGCCACCTTGACTTATTTGTATAAATAAATAAATAAATAAATAAATAAATAAATAAATAAATAAATAAATAAATAAATAAATAAATGCAACAGTTTTTACATGATACTTGTAGTGCAGCAGTATATAAATAATATTACATAATTTAAATTGTTTTTTTATAATAAAGTAACAAGAAAAATAACTAAATTCACAAGAGCTTATAATCTGATGCAGATATAGAGATGCCTCTCAAATGATGATTTGCAGGGACTTGAAGTTATTGACCCATGCCACCGAAATTACCTTAATCAATGCTTAGCATTACACATTGGGCAACATTAAATACTGTATGAGAAGGGCTAAGCAATGTTTCTGTCTTGATCAAGCTTTTAAAACAATATTTGAAAAGAAGAGGAATATTAACTATAGCAGATGTACTCAAAAGATGGGGTAACAAAACTAAAAGTTTAGTTTCATAAAGATAGATCTCCATCTGCAATCATATATCTTTTTTAAAAATAAAGTCACAAACTGAATTAGGAATATGATTCAAAAGAAATCCTTCCCTCACATCAAGTTATATACATATTATTTTAATTTTCTAGTGAATATAAGTTTTTAAAAGTTACTCTTTTAAATTCTTTTATTGAAACCAAGGTCCACACAGAGGTGAAAGAATTAAGTTACTTTATATGCAGTGATCCCAACCCAGATTGCATCTTTATTCTGTTATATCTGGAAAATTTACAAAGCCAGCTTAAAAATATATAAATATGAATCAATAGTTTGCTTCTCATAAAACTGCCACATCAATCTGTCAGTAAGTAGAGAGCCTGTCTTTCTCTAAAAAGACAGATTCATGCCAAGGAGTTAAGGGATAGAGAACTTATAGCCTTCCAGATGTTATTGATAATTCCCAGGATTATTTTCCATTGACAATGCTTAACTGGGTTTCTGAGTAATCTTAACAATTAGTCCATCTCTGATGTAAGACATACAGTATATAATCTTTTCATTAAACTTCTAGTATAATACATCAGTTTCATTTTTTTTGCTGACCTTTGATGTTGCTGAATGATCTTTTTTGTTTAATGCATTGATAGCACTACTACAATCAATCTGAAAAATAAATCAATAAAAACAAATCAATTTACAAAGACTACTTCAGAGAACAAATTTCATTAAATGATTTTTGTAATTTTATAAAATCAAAACAACTTACTTTTTTGGCACAAGTCATGGTAGAGATAACACATTTTTTTTCTCTAGCATTCCAGGTACAGTGCGTATGATTACATTCTGAGCATCTAGTAGTATATGTTAAAAAACAGAATATGTAGCAATTGGCAAAGGTCATCAGCAAAAGTGTGAACAGTGGCTAGTAGCTAGGTCCTATTTATGATATTTACATATCATAAATATTAAATATTTGATACTGGATCTATCAGTAACAACCTCAACTTCTTTTTTACATTTATGATATTTTACATTTCTTATTCTTAATAAATGGAATATTATAAATCCATACAAAATGAATTTAATAAATGTATCTTACGTTTTTGATAAGGAACAGATGTCAAATTCAAATATTTCTGATAACTTCCAAGTTCCTGAAATGAATGACACTTGAACTGAAAAAAAAATGAGAAGAAAATCCTTATATTATTAAATGCATGGATACCTGAAAGGCTTACAACAAGTGAAATGCATTACCAAAGAAATATGAAAGGTCTTCAACAACAAACCTCTAAATAGATTGCACCTCTTACTATTTCATATGTCACACAGAATTGACCATCTCAATAAAATGATGTTCTATGTTTCTTGAATATTATAGTCAGAGTACCTCAAATTATGATACAATTGTACAGGGTGTACAGATCTCATCTACTTCTGCGTGCATTATCTTTGCAATACCGTTAATGTAATTTCTGGGACTATCAACCTGCTTCTATGGGCAAAGTTTTTTAAGAGTGCTTTCTTCAGGTGAGTGGGGAGAAATCCTATCCCAAAGGTTCAGATAATGAAAGAGTTAAAGAAAAACTGAAATTTAATCCATCAATCAAATATAACTTGTCCATGTAGATAATGACCAAAGACTATCAGGGCCTGGAAAATCAAACTCCGAACTAATGAGGGGCAGAACATTTCCCTATCCGGGTGCTTTTTAAAACCGAGTAGCGAAACTCCATTTTGTCTTTTGTTCAGATGGGAGCTCTTTCCCAGGGCTGACTGAATGCCACTTAGAAGCCAAACTCCAATCCATTTAGCTCTGAATTGGCATGCAAGGAATTACACGGTGCAGCTATCTAGTTACCAATGAGGCTGTATGTGGTATAAATTTACTTTTGTTTCAGAGACTAAACTGTGCTATTGGGATTTTGTTTTATCTGTTCTCTCTCTGTGTCTATAAAGGGGGAAAAGGCAGTGCAAGAAAAATCTGTTTTCAGTTATTCTGTTTCTTTTAAACTTCTCATTCTTAAGCTCAATATACATAATAAAGCATCTGCATTTCTTATGAAATCAGAGCTTTTTTTGACAAGTAATTTCTAGCATATTCTAACTATTCAGAGAAAGTTAAGAGTTTTGCCATTTTCTACATAAGAATTGAAATTAGCAGAGAGTATGTTTTCTCTGGAATAAGACAGTTTCTTCCAAAGAATTGTGGGAAGGTGCAGGTGGATTATGGGTGGAAGATCTAAAATGGTTTTCTCAACCTTAGCTGCTTGAAGATGTGTGGACTTCAGCCCCAGAATACTGGATGGGGAATTCTGGGATTTGAAGTCCACACAACTTCAAACTGCCAAAGTTGAGAAACACTGATCTAAAACTATGTGGGAGCCAGGAGTCATGTTCACAATATCTCTATGTAATGCCCGTACCATTATAATACCTAGAAATGTATTCATGCTTTATTTATTAGATTTTTTATCCCATCTATATACTTTACAAATATTATGTATGTTCACTCAAAGCAGTGTACATACATAATACTCCTTCCTTCTCCTGTTTTCCCCACAACCACAATGTGCCTTTTTTCCTGTGTCATCCAATATTGTGGGAAATAGTCTTGCTTTAAGAAAGAATAGTAAGATACATATTATAACTATACCATTTAAACAGCTTAATAGTACTTAAAACTATGCCATGTTTTAATTGCTATGAACTTATTTATTGATTTTCATGAAAATGGTGTTACAGGTAGTTTACAGAAAGTATTAGCATTATATACAAAGTCTAAAACAGCTAAGAACTAGGCTCCAATGGAAGAGAATATTTGAAGCTCAGGATTGAACTGTGTAGCCCTTGGTGCTCTCTGAGTTTGATTATTGTTACTTAGTTGGATAATGAAACTCTGTGAGAAAACAACCAAGTACCAAGAACTCCAAAGAACTAGGTTTCTTGAAATGATCTCTATTATCTTTGTCTCCTCCACTAACCTATGAAATAATCTCTCATGAGCATGCCAGACCTCCAAACTGATAAATTTTATGTAATTTTTAAAAACAAATGTATTTATGTTGGCTTTTCTCCAGTCATTGGAATTTTCTTAAACATTGATTTTTTTTTTCTTTTAAATGAGGTTTCTAATAATTAGCAGACCCATACAAATGTCAAAATTCTAGATAAAGAATACATAGAAGAAATAAAAATAGAATAAATAAGTTGAAATGGATTAACAGCGCAAATAATTATATATTTATCTTTAGGTTGATCTGTGCATTCTTTTACATCTGTTATACACACTGATGCTAATGGATCTGTTTTCAGTCTTCTACCATTTCTTTTACTAATAAGATTAGATTGATATTTAGTAAAATTGCTGTAATTGTGTCACCACAAGATTAGGCTGTATTCAACAGGTCAGATTTTATTTTTCCAGAATGCTGAATCATTAAAGCAACTTCCTTAAACTTGCATTCATAGGGTGTGGTTATGTGAAAGCAAAATGGATCGTTAATTTCTTTCACTTTAATTAACCACATCTTCTATTCCCATGCAATATCTACCCAATCACATCACTCTGTAATAATAGTTCAAAATTTGTTTGCCAAAGAGTTCCCCTTTTCTTTTAAGCAAAGTTGCTGAAACTCAATATATATAAATATTTCTAGAAGAATGTATAAAAATGACATAATAATTACTATAATTCTCCAGATACCCAAGACCATAACCAGTCATCCTCCAAATATATTGGTATAATAAGTATCTTCTAGGAAATTCTAGAAAATATCGTCTCATTTATAATATACTTGAATTGCAAGAAAACCCTTTCAGGAGAAGCAAAGTTCCATTTTTAGGATGCCACCTCTTTTTATGCTGTTTATTTCAAGCAGAGTGATACCATGTTTCCCTGAAAATAAGACCCGGTCTTTTTTTTTTTTGTCTTTTTTTTTGCCTCCAAAAGAGGCACCATTCTTATTTTTAGGGGATGTCTTTTCCAGAGTCTTACCTCGCGGCGGCAGCACCAAGCCTCACCCAGCCAGCCCACTTCTTCTGTGGCCTCTTGCTGCTGCTCACAGGCATCACCACCAGCCTCCATTTCACTATCAGAGGTCTTCCAGAAAGTCCTCTGCAGCTGAAAACCCAGCTCCAGATTGACGTGCACAGCACACCTGACCTCCAGGGGGGCGCAGTGCCTCAATCCGGAGCTCGGTTTTCAGCTGCAGAGGCATTTCCTGAAGGCCTCTGACAGCAAAATGGAGACTGGGGGCCACAGATTGGACATGCCTGCACTAGACCAAATTGGCTTTCTTTTGCAGGTTGCAGATTGCTATCAATTTATAAAATACTTGGAATTAGAAGACTTTCAACATTATTGGGTATAATAATCCAATATGCAACCAGGCAAACCCAATGAAAATACATTGTGATGGATAATTTATGTATGATAGATACCAAGTTATTTTTCAAAGGCATAGAAATGAAATAGATAGAAGATGTGACTACATATGCCATATGTCATATTTCATAGAAATGAAAAATATGGTCAATAGCGCTGGAACTCTTTTAAATACAACTCTTGTTTAGGTACTCCTCTCCCTTTTCCTTTCTGGTGTTGCTATGAACAGATTAAAATTTTTGTCTGTTTCATTTAACAGAGGTTTATTTTTATTTCCAGGTCTTAGGATGCAAATACTTATAATGATACTTCAGGAAAATAGACTAAGATTCTTTAAAGTTTGTATCTCTTAATCACAATTTAGATGTGGCACAATATTAAACTGTATTTAACTTTAAAAAATGAGAATTGCCAATCCACTCTTACTGAAGGAAGGGAAAAGAAATGGATCGGAAATTTATTTATATTGTTTTCAATCATTATTTGGCATTACGTTTGATCAAGACCTTAGAGTCTATTGTTAATGCAAATTTTAGTTAATTATTACATTGATATTACTACCTTTCTCTTTAGAATTTATTATTATGATTCATTCGCTGTCAGCCATATGTTTAGATTGGATTTGGCATTTTTTTATCCATCTATCAAGTCCTTCTCCAAGGACCTGGGATAGGCAGATGTTGTTGTTTGATGATATTAAAGATATCATCACAGAATGTAAATTGTTCCAAGTAACTTCTGCAACTGTGTGATGATGATTTTGTCAATGATGATGGTGTTCAACTGCTGCTCCAGATACTTTGTGATTGCAGCCAAGGCACCCAGTACTATTGATGCTATTTCTATTTTCTCTTGCCATAATCATTTTGCTTCTATTTGCAGATCTTTGTATTTTGCATTTTTTCCAGTTCTTTCCCTCCTACTCTGCTGTTTCTAGCTACTGCCATGTCCACTATCCAGCTTTTTTGTCTTTCTTATTGACAATTGTTATGTGGCAGGTGAAACAAATGAGCAATGTTTTCAGTCTTAAAATATAGTTATATAGCTGATTCAACTTTACATTCAAATTGGATACTTTCTTCCTTTCTCATAATCTCTTTGAAAAAGGAAGTGAAAATGATGAAATCAGTTACTACGTATTTCCCAATATGTTTGCAAGTCAACATTAACACAGTGTTGGTATCTGCTGAGGTTGTAGAAGAGCACTGAGAAACAGAATTATGCAAATCGTTTTTGTCCATACATTTTAAAAGCTAATAGATTTAGGCACCCGAATTTTGAAACTTTCAAATTTTTAGCACTTTGGAATTCTTGAAGTCACCTACAAACATTTATTTCTGCCTTAAAAGATATAATAACAAAACAATGGAGAATTTTCAGTGTTTTATTACTTGCCTAAAGATCTTATAGATTAAAATAGTGTATATATATATTTTTAAAAAATCTAACAATAAAGCTATTGCACTGCAATGCCTAAAAGTATTATAGCTGACATTATTTATTAATGGATATGAATGTACTTATAATTGCACTGAACTTAGAAGGCAGTTACAAAATACACATGTCCATTTTGCTTCAATAAAAATGCCGACAGGAAAGCAAGTGATTGAAATATACTACTATACCGTGGCTGAACATTGGATAGGTTTCATAAAGAAATGTGTATTATTTTCTTCTGTTAAAAAGGTCTTATAAATAATGCATAAGTAAACCTATAATTATAGCAATGAATAATACAAAACAGCCCAACAATAAAATGGCCATTCAAATGGACTGCAGATTTTCCACAGCATATGAGAAAGTTGAATCCCTTGTATATTGCCAACTTTGGTTTTTGGAAATGGTAGTCAACAGCTAAGGAGAAATTAGAAGTACAGTTGACCTTTCTTAGGCCAGTGTAAAAAATTTTATGGCTTTGTTGAACTTGCTGCAAATCTGATGTTGGAAAATGTGTTATTACTATGTAGCATAGTAAAGAAAGGGATTGGTGGATTTCCCCAGATTTTTATCCCTTCTTTCCCACAAATTGTCAACACCTGACTGAAAAGCGTTCCTTGCTTAACACTGGATAAGGATAGAATGATGAGTTTTAAGAGCCAAACTCCTGCAGCACTTGCCATTTCTTTGAGCTGCCTCACTCCCTCCACTCTTCTCAGACTGTGAATTTCCTTCCTGCTGCACAGCTAGCCTCTTCCCCCTCCCCAGCTGTAAGTCACTTCTTTTAAAACACAAATAGAGATCTGCACTAAGCCCATGTTTAAAAGTAGCCTTGATAATACTGGTATGGAGAAGGGCATATACAATGCAATGGAAATTTCAAATTCAAATTGAATCTCACTAAATTATAGCACTATGCTATGCTATCAGTCCACTTGAAGCATGGGTTTAGTAGTCTTTGGAAAGAATGCTAATCCTGTGTTTAAAAGTAGCCTTTTTAAGATGAGACAGGCTCTATAGGGAGACTTCATAGTGTAGAGGACTCTCCCTCCCTCTATAGTGTGTAGACCACCGGTTTCTTTCAATTAGCTAACTTAAAATGTGAATCAGCTCAGAGATCTGCAAGTAGAAGGACAGAAATTGAATTGAAAGATCTGAATTCTTTCAGTCCTACGGCCCAAATCAGTAGGTATTGGCCCTGGAGGACAATACCCAGAAACTAGAGGAGAGTGGTAGAGCCCACATCAGCCTAAAATATCTTCACATTCCTAAAGTGGTCAAGAGAAGTTAAGTCAAACCTATCTCTTGGGATCAGTTTAATACATCCCTGACAGAATGATTGGCAAAGCTTGTCAGTTTATATCCATTGCAACAAATAGGTTGTGGTAAGAAGAAAAACTTACTTTAAAACCAGAAGAGTTAAAGATACTTGAAAGCTGCCTCAGATGATATCAAGGGACTAGGTCAGTATCAGACAATGGTAATGTTGTCAGGGAATGTTTATGGTGTGGTTAGATGCAGGTGAGGGAAGGCCCAATGAGTGGTTCAAATATTGATTTTCTATCTTTTAGGAAACACTTAAAGAAAAGAACCTCTGCCAGAAAAACATGCTTGTAATCTGAATCATGTTTGTATTAGCGGACATATAATTTAGATTCTAATGGACTGTATTTTTTAAAGAAGGATATATGGTTGATACAGGCTGCAAGAAGTAAACTAGTGGACAACCCATGAAAGTTTAACCATTATTCCTAATTAAAAAAGGTTAGGATGGGTGTAAAGGTCTATATACTGTAGCATAATGGCAAAGGTCAGAATAATGGCTAGATCTGGAATTGATTCAAAAAGATTACAGTTGCCAATCAGGATTATGATTCAATTTATTTTAATCATCTATGTAGTATGATCTAGGATAGATTTGAATAACCAGCTTGCCCCCCCCCCCATGTGATAATGGGCCACTGGCCACTCTTCAGAGCAGGAAAACTTGTTGACATCAGGTCTAGGACAACTAGCCACAGCCAACTCACCACAACCAACTCACATGGCCAACTCACCATAGTCAACTTGCCGTGGCCAACTCACCACGGGACAATTCATCACAGCCAACTCATCATGGGACAACTTACCGTGGACAAAAGTTACATAATATCAAAGAAATGGTAAAATAGAATCATTAAAGAAAAAATGTAAAAGGAAAGACAAAATGAAATGTGAATGAAAAATATTAAAATATTTTTTAATTATTTTAAATAATTAAGTAAAATTGTTGAAATGTCCCTTGGTATGTTGTCCCACAGTGAATTGGCTGCAGAGAGGTATCCCATGGTGAATTGGCCATGGCAAATTGGCAGCAGTGAGTTGGCCACGACAAGTTACCCGTGGCAAGTTGCCCTATTCTGTGTTGACATCTACTTACCTCTAGCCATCCAGAAAGGCAACCTCCATCTGTTTTTTTTTTGTTGTGTATATGGACTTTAAAAAAAAAAATTCTTACTAGCATTGCTATCTATGTTGTCTTCTGCACTTCATTTCATTGCAGGCAGCCCCCTTTACTCCAACTGGCTGTGATGCCATGTTGCAAGAATTCCCCTATAGCTGATTACAACCCTTCTTGGCCATCTATTTATTTTACATATTTATCCGTAAATAAATGAAAGTCTAGCTTTTTTAAAAAAAGGTTACATGATAGAACATTGGAACAGTGAAATGGTGGATCTTTTTTTCTTTCTTTTTCAAATTAGGTAAAATTGACAAGATGTTACATTTTTGCCTTCCTTTTGCCCCTTCCTTCATTTCTTCCTGTCTTCCCTCCCTCACTCCCTTGTCAACTATTAGGGGGCTCATACAAAAGAACTGTTACTGGAAATCCTGTGTCCTTGAAGCCCCTTCTGGGTCATTGGTGCTTGCTTCCCTGACAGGCATAGGACGGGTAAAGCAGTAGTGAAATCAATCAAATATGGTAAACATAGTATAATCATATATCAGACCATCACCATGGCCAATGTGAAGAAACTGGAATCTGGAAAAGCTTTCTTAAACTGGCTTTGCTTCCGTGATTTTAAGGCTGGAGTGTGGAGCGTATTTTTTTCACACAGGTTTTTCACACATCAATCAAAGGAACATTTTTAATAACATAACGGAATTCATTATTACATTAAGTAATGTTTTATTATATAGCTGAGTCTAAAGGGGGTTATGTTATGATGAACATGCAACGCAAATATTAGCTAATAACAAATTAGTTATTAACTAATAACTAATCCCTTTGCACTGAGGGTTGTTAAGGGTAAATTTTGAATTTTTATGTATAACTAGAGAAAGGATATTGCCAGATATGGAAATATCAACTTACAAATCTGAAATATAAAGAAGCTCACCTTTTTCTGATCGATCTTCAAAATTTATATCACAGGAACAGTTCAGATGGCGTTGATTCACATCACAAAGAATTTCATTGGTCCTTATATTTAACATCTTGCAACGGGAATGTGCTTCAGAAAGACCAAAAGAATTTACATCTACTCTCATACGAATCTAAAAGAATAAGAACATTGAAAACAATAAATTTATTCAGTGCTAGTTATAAAATTGCCAATTTTATCCTGACAGTGAGCTAGGGAGTTGAAATCTGTGCAACTCCACTGATTAAATCCAAATAATCAACTATGAAACAGGATCTATCCAGGTTTCCTTCCTTCTGTTCCCAGTCTAATAATGATTTAATATATGTAGTGATGCATGGCTTCTTTTGTTTAAAATGTAGTAAAAAGTACTTGAAAATTAAAGTACATCCCTATGATGATCATGAATCTGGAGGGCTCCATGTTAGCCAGACTGGTTAATCTATTTTGTAGAGCCTTTTAATACAGATGAATATTTAGAAATTTGAAAGTCATAAAATATAAATAGTATTGCTATGATAAGTACAACTGGTAGAAAACCTCTGTGGCATGGGTTACTTTCTACAGAGTAGGATCTACTGTGTCCTCCAACAGCAGCAAAAATATTAGCTGAATATACAATTCTGTATTACCACTATTTCAACTTTTATTTACTTGTGTTTAATTTACTGGATTGGATCCAATGATAAAGTATTACAATCATGACTATATCTAGATCTGACCCATTATTCTACTTTTATTGGCACAATGAGAGATACTATTCTTGGAAAGGAGGTTATAAAAATTACTAAGGATTACTGATCTTACAATTGCACAACCCTGCAACAGTTTTCATTGGTAAAAACTAAAAAAAAGGGTAATATTTTTATTCAAGTGACTGGAGCATTACACTAACGCAATATTATCATAGCCTCAAAATCACCATTACTAACCATTTCATTACTATTACTGACTTTAATCTACGTATAGTGAATTATGAAGTACATACCTTACTATTTTTGAGTTGAGAAGTGTAGATTTTCAGGCACTTATCTATGCTGTATGAAATATTTACCCAGTTAGGTGAGTTACTAGAAAATGAACATTCTCCTTTTAAAGTGCAGCTGAAGAAAATACAAATATATTTGTTACAGAAATACTAAAACATGTTTTGACTCTATATAGCAATTCACACTGTTTTTCACTAGCCATTTCTGAATGCTTTCCTCAGCTCATAATAGGCTGAAAGGATGTGTTTCACATCAAATATGGTTTGGGAGTTCTACCCCATTTCTATTCAACTATTTTTGTAAAAAAAAAAAGTTGCTGTATTGTTTATGTAAGCAATGCAAGCATTCCTGAGAAACACATTGGCCTAACCAGATTATCATGCTCTGCTGCATTTGCTTATATAGTATAGTTTAGATTTTTATGATTCTATAATTTATTTTACAAAACAGCTAAAGCCAGGACTCAGTGTAATGACTTGACATTCAGATTTGGAGAGGCCTAAATTTAAAGTTTTGGAAGCCTGGAATTAAGAACATAAAGAAGTTCAACTAGATTGGATTAAAATTCATTGATCTTTATATAATTTTCGGGAATAGCTCGTAGAACTCACAACTGCTAGCAGGGAATTCGTGGACTTGTAATCCCTATATTCTGGGAAAACAGCACCATTTTCTTTTTAAAGCTGGCATGCAAGCTGTTTTCTGTGCGGTTTATATAAAGAGTATTATTTATTTTGCTTTGGAAAAAAACTAAATAAACCTTAAACAAAACTTCTCATTTCTCTCATTCAGGCACTTAAAAGATCTTAAGCAAAGATATTGCTTCATTTGAACACTGTTATGGAATCCAATGCTCTGTGGAGCAAAGAGGTTCCACCTTTTTTCTGAACAGAGGTTCCAAAGAATGTTGTCCTTAGATTCGTCTATCTGAAACATAGCAATAAATACTGAAATGTATTTCTGCAGAAATTAATTTATAATCTTTAGGAGTCACATAATTGCAAAATCTGAGAATCCCTGCCTTAGTGAAAATCCCTATAACTACAGAAATAAAAAAAAATCTGACTTTCTTTCTTTCTCTCTTTCTTTCTTTTCCTTCCTTCTTTCCTTCCTTTCAAACCACACATAATTTTGAACATTTAGACTGTCCATGAAATATTAATTATGTTGCATTACAATATTAATTAAAAGATAAATACCTTTTCTTTGTATGGCACCATCCACAGTGTGGGTCCATTGCAGATAAACAATCTCTACAGGAAATATATTTGCTGCAATTTGCAACCTGTATTCTCCTGATCTGAAAAAATTAAAAAGTACCTTTTGCAAATTCCGTATCAGCCATTCCAAGCAAATCAAATAATATTTTTATGAGTTCAAGATACACAAAAAAGAATAACTATTTTTAAATAAAGTTATAATTCTTAAAAATATAGGGAGGTATTCAAACAAATATGATTTATTAGAATACTAGAATAAAGTTGGTATTTTGGATATGTTGATACCAATTTCTCACTTTTTCAATCTTTTACAAATAACCATTTGTGAACTTGATTTTAGCTTATCCTAGCTGGCAAAAGCTGGCTGATAAATAACAAGTCTTTGGCTGCTAGTTTATATTGTATTGATTCTGGAATAAATTCCAGTATTAAAAGAGAAACATATAAAATACAGGTGTTTTCTGATGATATGTTGATCATTTTAGAAAAGCCTTCGGAAGGAATAGAAATATTAATAAAAAAATCTAAACATTTTGGGGGTAATAATTTTAAAAATTAGCAAGCAAAAGATGAAGATGCTAACGAAGAATTTGAAAATGGAAAAACAAAGGGAACAGATGGAAATAATTGATTTAACTTTTTTTCTTGTATTATTATGACTAGCATGAATTGTATTTTATTGCAGAACAATTATGTTAAAGCCTAGAATTAAGAAGGAGATGTTGAAAGAGGAGAAATTACTATTGTCCAGCATGCCCAGCCTGGTCCTTTGCAAGGCAACTGCTGGCCATGTGAAGCAACTTCCCCAGGTCTCATGAGAATGGGAGACTATTTGGAGAGCAGGAGGCCCCTGTTCCAGTGATAATTTGGAAGAACTTAAAAACTTTCCAAAGGCTTTCTGAAGCACTGCGAGAACAGGAACCACTATTTGGACAATGCTGCAGGTGATTTGGAGAACGGCCCAAATGGCCTCGAAAAGAGGGCCTGGCATAACCAGCAGCTACCAGGTGTGCAGCAGCAGCAGGAGAAAGATGGCAATGGCAGCTACGTACATCAGGGCCTGATGGAGGAAGAGCAATGGAAGCAATGACAGAAGCTTGGGGCAATGGCAGCTGGCTGAAACTATCAAAGTTTTCAGGCCTCTACTTCAGCCCCAGGCCTTCCACTGCTAAAGAGGTGTGCTGCCATGCAGGATGGCCAAAAAGGCATGGATGGGGGAAGGGAGGGAGGGAGCTGAAGTGCCTGAATTTTGATCACATAATTGGGGGCCACTGCAACAGCTGTAACTTCAGGGACTAGTTAAAACTCACTTCTTTCAATGCCATTTTAACTTTGAATGTGACTGAACAAATGGTCATAAATCAAGGACTGCCTAAAGCAAAATTTAGGTTGAAAAGGTGGACAAGAAAGGTCATGTAATTTTAAATTCAAATACACATAATAATATAAAGAATTTTAAAGATTAACATTCAACTGAAACAAGCATTTTTCCTACTGGGATTAATGGACAGACTATCAAAAAAGAGTTATGGGGTATTATTTTTTATGTTCCTTTTGTGAAACTACTATATGTACAAAACTGGAAAGATTCTAAAACAAGCACAATGGAGGAATGCTTGTTGAAGAAGACAGAAGTAGCAGAAATGGCAAAATAGACTTATCTGATCAGAGAAAGATCTACATTTTTAGTAGCTGGAAACTCTTTATGGACTTTTTTTGCTGAAGAAAGAAAAAATTGATCTATGGCTTTGACGATTAGAAAGAATAAACTATGGAAACAAGAAAATTTTCGTGTAATGTTACAAAGGGAAGGTAAAATATAAATACATTTATAACATTATTAAGAAGATTAAAAATTGTGTCTTTATAATTTTTCTTTTTTTCTATTTTCTTTTCTTACTATTTACTACTTTTATTTTCTTTAATATTTTCTATAAATATTTTTAATATTTATATTGTTTTTACCTTAAAACACACACAATCATATGTACAATATATCCTCAGACATACACACACACACTTAAGTTCCAAATTAGTACAACTTTTAATTATTGTTTTAAATCTTATGAGCCATTTTGATTGCTGAGGCTCTATATTTTATTTGTGAACTGAAATTGAAATGTGAGCTGCTGCATTAATGTTTTCATGTTCTATTTAATTATTTTGTATATAGGCAAATTCACAGGAAACTACTGCTAAAAATCATTTTGAAATACACTTCTGGCCAACCTCTGAGTCGAACTTTCTATTTCAGTGGTTCTCAACCTTTTTAATGCCGCGACCCCAACCGGTCGTACGTCGAGGACTAAACCGGTCGTAAGTCGAGGACTAAACCGGTCGTAAGTCGAGGACTACCCAACCGGTCGTAAGTCGAGGACTTTCCCTGCCTGGGAGCGCCGCGCATGCATGGTTCCGCCCCCTGCGCCAGCCGAGGTGTAGCTGGCAAGCAGCAGAGACGGAGCAGGCCGACCACCAGCTGGCCCAGCCTAAGGGAGGTAAGGCACCCGCCGGAAAAGGGGAAAAAATGGCGGACAAAAAAAATGGCGGACAAAAAAAAAGGCGGACAGCCTTGCTTGGCGACCCCCGTGAAATGGTCGATCGACCCCAAATGGGGTTCCGACCCACAGGTTGAGAACCACTGTTCTATTTCTAGGAAGGTTGGATTAATTACTGTTCTTAAGTGTTTTATATACTGAGGAAAACATACATTTTTGAGATATCAGTTATTTTAGTTTTAATGTAGAAGTATTATAACTGTGGTTGTTCATAACAATTTCTGTTAAGCTCAGATGGACTCTATTAATTCTATTAAAGAATTAATAGAGCCTTTGACCTTCTAGTATACAGTATTTTCTCCATACCAATGAAGAGTTGGAATAATGCTAAGTGAACTTACAAAAAGAAAGACTGATAATGTTGATGTCTTGGACCAATCACAATGTGGAATAAGATAAATAGAAAGCAGTGAAATGGGATTGTAAAGTGGAAGAATGTGAATACTGCAGAATGTGAAAAGGGGCAATACTTGTAATATTAAATTACTAGGATGGGGTGATTCTTAGGACCTGATGTAAGAATTTTCCAAAGTCCTCCCCCCCCCAAAAAAAATCCAGTGTGTGGTAATTTTTCATAATACTCTAAACTTTTTCCATGGGCATTCCAGAGTCTTTACCATAAAACTTTATTAGAAAACAATTGGAATATTTGCAATAGCTTTGCTGGCCATTGATACTTGGCTATATGAAGTTTTATAACCAACTTTGGAAATAGCATATAAATGGAATTCTAGAGTATAATTTAGAATTCAACCAACCATATTATTAGATGGTAGATAGATGTAATTCTGATCCGTAGGGTCAAGTTCAAGCCTATGGAAAATGGGTGTTTCTTCCTTAATTTCATATAAAATGTCTGGACAATTTGGCTTCATTTTGTCATCAAGAACAATCTATAAAAACAGGATATATTTAATGAACATAAACTTGCAAACAGTTTGGAACAGAGTTGTCCTGTACTCTTCTGCCAGCTATTCATCATCACAACTTCTTTTCCAATGTGATCTTAAACAATTGTGAGAAAATATTAAGGCTGATTTTTACCTTGCTAAAATTATTTAATAAAAACAAAGAAAGAAAAGAAAAGAAAGAAAGAAAGAAAGAAAGAAAAAGAAAAGCTGAAAAGAGTGTAAACAGTTATAGATGCTGTTGTTATAGTAAAAACATATGCTATGTTCTAACATTGTGCAAAATCATTATGTAACTTCTGTTATAGTGGCTTAATGTATGAGTCTAGCCTAACCAGTTTGTAAATTGTTGTTTATATAACTGTAGTATTATATGTTGTTCAAAATACCACAGTTAAATTAAATGAATATATTATTAAATCAAAAGTAGTAAAGAATGTATTTTTTAAAAAAGTAGCTTTTTTTCAAATGCAAAGTTCTAGTGAATAATGTAAAATCTGTCTTCCTTCAAAATATTTTCTATTTGATTTATAGAAAGTGGAAGCTCTAAATGTGCAAATACATGCACCAGAGTGTTTTATTCCACTCAAAAAAAAAGATAAATTCCATGTGCAGATTATTTGTGAGTTCTTAAAAACTAAGTATATTGATTATTTATATTAATGGTATTATTTTTTATTAAAAACACATTAAAGAAAAATAGATACAAATATGAACACTGTTTTCTGCAATTTTACATAAACCTGATGTATAAACTAGTAAATCATAATGATTCATGGCATAACCTACCTTCAACAGCTGCCCATTTCCTGTCCCTAAAAATAAAACAATCTTCTTTAGAAGCACAGTGGCATAAACTGAAACCAAATTAAAGTGACTCAGAGAAGTTGAGTTGTTGATTGGCCATATAACTTTTATCTGAAACAGAATGAACAAAGAAACAAAACTTTAGAATGCATCATTACATCATAATTGAAAGAAGAAATATTCAGTAGCTGTCTGTGGGAAGATTAGTTGCCACATTATATATTTTGGGTGGTGTTTTATCTCAAGTAGGCTTCAGTACAGTATTATTAAATTGTTCATAAGGATTAATATAATATATATTTAATATATTATACTTTTTTAAAAAATCAGCATAATTAGATCAGAGAAAAATGAGAAACACATAACCATTTATTGTACAAAATACTGCACATATTTGAATTTTGAATTTTGAATTTTATTTTGAATTTTATTATTATTATATTTTGAATTTGAATTTTATTATATTTATACCCCGCCCTTCTCCCGGAGGACTCAGGGCGGCTTTATTTATGAAGAAATAGCCATAGCTCTTGGCACTTTTTTTCTTGATCATAAATTCAGTTGTATTTACCCATCCTAAACTAGCAGCAAGCATGTCCTTAGAAGCATCTTTTCTTAATTAATGCTAGCTAAGTGAATCCAAATAATTACAGGAAAACATTGCAAAAAAGAAGTAGACCACATAAAGAGCCACTTTGGTCTAGTGCAGTGATGGCGAACCTTTTAGAGACCGAGTGCCCAAACTGCAACCCAAAACCCACTTATTTATCGCCGGGTGCCAGGTGGGCGTGGCCCACTGGTGGACGTGGCTGTGGTGGTCATGACAGATTGGGTGGGTGTGGCCAAGGTGGCCGTGATCACCTCAATGTTGCTCGTGGGGAGGGATGCTTGTGGGGGCCAGGCAGGGTTGGGGAAGATCCAGGGGGTCTCTGGCAGGTGGGGCAGTGGACAGGAGGCTCGTGCTGCAGGGTGAGGCGAGGCAGGGCAGGGGTGCCATTGTCACAGGGCAAGGTGAGGCAGGGGCTGGGACGGCGGCTGCCTAACACCATTGGCCCCTGCACACAGAGGCCAGCATGGGTGCTGGGATACATCCGGCCATGTGGGACCTCTGCAAGTTAGCGGGCAGCTGGTTGAAGAGGGATGGTTGCCATCTCCAGGGCATGGCGTGCGTGCCCACAGAGAGGGCTCTGAGTGCCGCCTCTGGCACGCATGCCATAGGTTCGCCACCACTGGTCTAGTGATTAAGGCACCAGGCAAAAAAGCAGGAGATTGTGAGCTCAAGTCCTTCCTGAGCCATAAAAGTCAACTGTATGTCTTTGGGCCAGTCACTCTCTCTCAACCCAACTCATCTCACAGGTTCATTGTTGTGGGAAAAATAGGAGGAGGAAGGAGTATTAGATATGTTTGCCACCTTGAGTTATTTATAAAGCTAATAATATGGAGACCTAAAACATAAAATACAGAAAATGTGAAGGTCCAGATCACAAAAATACAAATATGTGTGAATTCCTTGCTCTCAATAATTTATTCTGTTTTGAAAGAAGATATTGTGTGATGGATAATGGCCATGTGGGGCATTCTGGACACTAGAATCCCAAACCATTCAGTAGTATACATTTATTTGTTTCCAATGTATGGGTCACTTTTTTAAAATTTCTTTTTTCTTATGATGCAGCTAAATTTAATATTCATATTATGCCCTCAGTGTTTGTATGTTGCTTTTTCTTTAATATTTCACGGCGTTATCATTTACAAGAAAGTAAGAAAAACAGGAAATCCTGTACAAAATCTTTCACCTCCTTTTTTTGAAATGCCTTTTATAATTTCATTTTATGTGGCTCTTTGTTTCCAAGGCTCATGGAATCATAATAGAAAACCTATTTTTAAAAGACAAAAATCCTCTATTATCTTTGGTTGGTATCAGTTCTGTATGTATTCCTTAAGATTCTATTTATGGTTCTGAATAATTATTTATGACAAATTTACTGTATTATTATATTTGTAATGAAGTTAATAAAAATCCTTCATATTTAACAGCACTATTAAAATTTGTCAGATGATTTTTTTACATTGCTGTAAGCCAAAGCGATGATCAATTACTCCAATCTCCTTCAGCCTGCTTTACTATACTTCAGTTTCCATAATTCTCAGTTGACACAGAATATTAATTGGAAAAAGCCGAATTAGATTATCTCTATATTGCCTATTATCTATTACCATTTGGCAAAGTGGTTTTCTGTCTATAACCAACTGACACAACTTGGTTTAATAGTTGTTCTTAAGCTGTCCTTCCAACATTGTTTGTGGTGTAACTATCAAGTGACATAGAAATATGCAATAGTGGCAAATATCTGTAGCTTGGGTACAACCAAGCTTGTGGGTTGGTTTCCAAATGTTTTGTTACCAGGGTAGGTAACATCTTCAGCAGAGTTTAGGGGTTGTCAGTGTCAGTGTTCTTCTGTTTATAAGGGCTTTGTGTGGTCAATAGGTCTTGTGATGAGTCAGGTGTGATTCATCAGTGGGAGTCTTGTGATGGGTCTTGTGATGGGGAGGTTACATCAGGTGAAGGTCATTGGTAGGTGAAATGCTGTGGTGGGGACTTGCTTGGGTTGGTTGAGGGTTGGTGCTTTCTCTGGTTGGCTGTGCAGTTGATTTGGATTCAGAGGGATTTGTAGGTTGATTGTAGGTCAATGTGTCTATGAAATTGCTTGTGGAGTGCCAGGAGCGTGGCAGGTGGTAGTGTGGCTGATGATTTTTGTATTGCTCCAATAGAACTGGTGCTGTTTGGTATCAGTGTGGGTAGAGATTAAGGATTTGGGATTGTGGCATTTGATTGCCAGCCGGTGTTTGGGGATCCTGGTTTTTAATTGATGTGATGTTTGTCCTACATAGAATTGGTTGCAATTGTTACAGTTGATTTTGTAAATTACATTGTTTCTTTCATCCTTCTGTATCTTGTCTTTGGTTCTGGATAATTCCTGGCAGAGTGTGGCTGTGAGTTTGTGGGCTGTTGCTATTCCTAGAGGTTGGAGAATTCTGGCTGTCATTTCCCTTTTGTGTGTGGTAGGGTTAGTTTTTGGTGGTAGTTGGTTGTGTGATGTATTGTGGTTTGGGTGGTGTGTGTCGGAGTATGAAGTTTTTGAATAGCCATTACGGAGAAAGACATCAAACAGCCATTTCTCTTCCATTTTTTTCAGTGTTGTGGTGCTGCAGTGTGTCCTGGCCCTTCTGAAGAAGGTCTGGACATAGCTCATTTTGTCTGTGGTGGGGTGGTTGCTTGTGAAACTGAGGATCTGATCTATGTGCGTGGGTTTGTGGTAGATGCGGGTTTCCAGTTATCCACGATCTAGTCTCCTCATGTCGATGTTGAAAAATGGGACTCTGGTGTCTGTTTCCTCTTAGAGTATGAATTTGATCCCAGGGAATATGTTATTGAGTAGGTGGTGTGTTTCTTCAATTTGGGAGCTTTTGATGATGACAAAAGTGTCGTTGACGTAGCATATCCAGAATTTTGGTTGGATGGTGGGTAGAGCTATGGATTCGAGTCATTGCATGACTGCTTCTGCTATTAGGCCTGATATGGGTAATCCCATTGGGGTACCTTGTACTTGCTTATAGATTTTACTGTTGAACTTGAAGTGTGTGTTGTGTGGGAAGTCAGCACTCCCAGAGAAGGAAATATTAAAAGGGCAGAATATATTTCCCTAAAGGATTTTAAAAGCAAAAACCAACCCTGCCCCCAAGTCTCTCGGTCCCAAGCAGAAACTAAGTCTGCAAAAATGCAGATGTGATAATCTTGTCAGAAAGATTAGAGTCAGGAAACTGGGATTAGGAAGAAATATCCCTAGAATCAACACCAAAAATCTAAGAGTCATCAGCCACAGCCACAGGGAAGCAGGATTTGACCCTTGGGACATAATAGGATTAACCCATCACCATCAGAATACCAGAAAGGCACACTCAGACTCAGGTCAAAATTCATGCCACAGGAACAACTCCAAACAAAAGGCTCCAGAGGGTATAAAAACCCACTCCCTACATGTGCTCACTCTTTTCTTCCAGAGCCATCTTAAAGGTTATCTTATCTTATCTTAAAGCAGTCGCCATGTTATTTATTCCCGGCTTGGACTGAACCATGATGAAGACTTTTCCTTCAACAATTTGGCACCCAGGATGGGACTCCAAGCTAACCTCTCCAATGGACAAGACTGGTAAGTCCCATCTTGCCGGCAGCAGACCCCTTGTGTCTGTGGATGGGTTTCCCAGGCCCTGCCCATGTGGAGCCAGGGTAGTAAAAGGAGTTTTGGGTTTGAGCTCAAGGGCTGCTTTGGAAAGAAGGTGAAGGTGAGTACTTCTAAATTTTAACTTTAAAGCCAGGGGAGCAAAGGAAATGTGTGTTATGTCTATGTGTGTGAGTGAGAAGACCCTTTTCCCAATCACAATTGGATTTTGCTCCCTCTGGCCTTTCCTAGCCGCAGAAAGGATCTGTTCAAGTGGCAGACCCTGGAAAGCATGGGGGTTTGGGCAGAGTGCAAGACCTTTTGTTAGGGAAAAGGGAGAGGCTGTGTGAGAATGGAATGGAATGAGTGAATGAGAGAATTGCATTTGGGCAACCAGCTGGTAAGGCCCTGTAAGCAAAGCTGTAGGAGGGGCTCATACTAGTGCACAAAGCACAGGTCCTCCCAGACTCCTCCTGAGTCTGAAAACTGAAGAAAGTGAGGAAGAAGGAGGCCGCATACCTGTCTGAGCCGAGGGTGGCAGGTCCTCCCCAGACACCTATTTGGTCTGCAAAGTGATGGCGGGACGGCAAGGATAGTGTCACTAAGAGTGGCTGGGCAGTGCTGCTAGGACCTGACTAAGCCAATTGAACCCCACATAGTAAGGGAAACACAGGTAGTTGTAGTTCGAGGGTCGGAATTAGGACAGAAACTATTAAAAAATGGACTTTGCTCTGGGTTTTGCTGGGAAACCAATTTGGCTAAATAAAGGTACTTAAAGGGAAAATAAGAAATAGTGATTCTCTCTCTCTCTCTCTCTCTCTCTCTCTCTCCAACCATGTGGTATGTTTAAGATTTGTGCCTTCCCTAATTTGAGTTAACTGAGATTTGTGG